GACATATAAATGTGGAGGTGTACCTGTAATATATGTGTACATTTAAATATTCAAAGAATCCCTGAAATATCATATCTGTCTCATGGGTAACACAAGCAAATTCTGACAGGCTAGCCATGTATTAGTCACCTTTCTGTTGCTGGGACAGAATGTCTGATATAAATAATTTAAATGAGGAGACGTTTCTTGGCTGCAAGTTTCAGAGGGTTCAGTCCATGGTTGGCTGGCGTCAACACAGAAACAGTATGGCAGAAGGGCACAGAACGGGAGAGCTGTCCACCTCATAGTAGCCAGGAAGCAGACAGCAAGAAGACAGCCAGAAAGTGGGTGGTGGGAACAGGATATACCCCTCTACCACATACCTCCAGCCACCTACATCCTCCAACTAGGCCCTACCTCCTAATGGCCCATTTAGCTATGAACTGACCAATGGATTAATCCACTGCTGAAGTTAATGCCTTGAGGATCCAGTCACCTCTCTAGGGCACACCCCTGAACTCTGCTGCATTGGAGATCAAGCCCTCAATTGCATGAGACTTTGGGGGACACTTTCTCTTTAAACCATGGCAGGGCATTTGCCCAAGTTCACACAGCTAGTAGATGATATAGCTAGTCTTAAATACAGATCTGTTTAATTCCAAAGCTGCTATAAGTGCCTAAAAATTCTAAGGCACTGCTAACATAAATTTCAAAGCAAGGCAAAAGTGGACAGAATAGAGTTAACCTTTGTGTATTCATGATGTGGATTCAATAACTACCAATGTATGGCCAATCTTATTTCTAGGCTGTTATACCAAACCTACCTGTGCATCATCTTGAGGTAAACTCCAGCTGTCCTAGCATCTCATCCATAAATATTGCAATATGAATCTCTAAAAGATAAAGACTGGAACTAAGTTCATTTTTTCTGCCCTACATCAAAATATCCCCAATAAATTAACTCTCTGGGTCAATAAAGAATCTCTGTTCTTCTCAAGAATGTCCCATGCCAGTCTCCAAATTATTTTACTATGAGATATTCCTTTGGAGACATCAATCTTATTAGACTGCTCTGATCACTCAAATTCCCTTTCAGAAATACTTAAACATTCAATTTTATCTTATATTATGCCCTATGAAAAAGATGCTGAAATATACCTGCTCTGTAAATATAGGGAGAAGCAGAAAATAAATCTCCAGGCTTTAGGAACATCAGTCCAAAGTCAGAAAGCAATCTGTCGAGTATTCACTCTTAATTATTAAAACAGAACCTATAGTGATTGCAAAACACATAGGCATTCAACAAACATTAAGAGGCACTATGTACAACCAAAACAATACAGGATGCTAGATACATTTTGGATAGTGAGCAAATAAGGGCTTTCTCCACCAAGTTTACTTTCTAACACAGGATTAAATTAAGAAAACAAATAGCAAAGCTGGGATGGTGGTGCCTACCTGTAACCCTACCTACTTGGAAGGCTGAGGCAGCAGGATCACAAGTTTGAGGTCAGCATTCTATCTCAAAATAAAAAGGGCTGAGACTATAGCTCAGTAGTTCCTGGATTCAGTCTCTAAGAAAGACAGGAAGAGAGCTGGGGGAAAGGAAAGAAAGGAAAAGAAAAGAAGACGAACTACTCCAATGCAACCAGCATATAAAAGACAAGAAAAAGAGGGCAAAGAGTTACTAAGGCCTCAAAGAAAGGAGTGAAATAGTAAGAAATGAGGGACTGAGGCCCAAAAATATGTTTCCAGAACCATGTAGAAGCTAGCTGAGGGAGAAGAAGCTGAACCCCCCAAATCTAACCTATTACAATTTCCACCTAGACAGAACTAGAGATGCTTGCTTAAGTATCGACATTTCATGCTACCACCGGAAGGGTCTATGGAACAGTTGTTTTTATAAACAGGCCTTGGCAAGTCACCTAGAATTGTGACCAATGCAGGATCATGCAGTGTTCTGGGCAGAGAAGACACCCCAGACAGGTTCATGTGATTGCGACCAGCTTTGGCTGACATGCAGGAATAACCACAAGGCGGTGATGAGGAAATAGAAGCAGAAAGGTAGGCTACGACCAAGTTAAAAAGGAACTTGAAACCGAGATCAAGTTGTGTGTTATAAGGCTGTTGGTTGACAGAGATCCATCTTTTAAAGCCCAGGACTTCACAGAAAGCACTATCATTTTATTATTTTTGTCATTTTTATTTATTCTGATTTGCTATACTTTAGATGGAGAACTTACACACAGAGCTTACGTTTGCCTACTGATGGGGTTGGGAGGATGGACAGTGACAAGGATGAGGGGGGAACCACCTGGGGACAAGGTGGGGATGCAGGCTGCATTGATTCCCCAGGGCAGTAGAACCCTGAAACAGGAATGTGGAGAACTGGTAGTTTTGACCCCCAAGTAAACCCCGACAGACTAGTTCTGAGACTGCTGAAATGACCCAAGGACAGCGTGAGAAGCTGTGGGAAACCTGTGCATCCCACCAGAAGCATGTGAGAGGAGTGTCTTTTGTGGTCCCTGGTCGCTGCTATCTCTGAATGAGACAAAGCATTCAGGCACACAACGCTACGAATGCAGACTGGAAGGTCCTTTTAGATATACAGGACAGCACTTTGAAGGTACTTATAGTGGTAGTGATTGAAATGTCTAAAATTGGTGTGGTTAAAAGGCCCTGTGAAAGGGGCATAGCCTTTGAAGCTAGACAAATCTGAATTTCAAATCCAGATTTCCTACTCGCTAGCTGGGTGATCTTGGGAAAGTGACCTAACTTCAACTTGAAATACCCCTTTTATAAAAAGGAAAAAAAAATACACTCAAGGTTGTGGAGAGGGCTGATAGACTATAAGATTCCTGGTGCACAGCTGGTATTTGTTTCCTCCCCCTTCTTACTGCAGTCAGTGCCAGATAGAAGAGAAATTACTAATCACCGAACATCCTGTAAGCATCCACGTTCAACTTCCCTTATTAAAGCTTTTAGTGCAGTCCTAAGTAATAACAAAATAGGTCCGTTTCCTTTTTCTTCACTGTTTAATAAAACAGGTACTAATGAAGAGAAAAAAGTCAGATGTCTACACTTGAATAAGAATGATCCCTCCAACTCGGTAGGAAAACAGAACTATAATAGCATTTTCAACAGGATATGAGTAGAGATAGCTCTAAGAAAGGAATACAAAGGGCCAAGAAGTGTATGTCACGGTGCAGATCGAAAATGTCCCGCAAGATTCTCGTGTGTTCAGAGGTGGGACTTTTGGAAGGTAATTGGATCACGAAGGCTGTAACCCCATCAGTGGGTAAATCCATTGATGAGACTAATTTGATGGCAGAAATGTCAGAGGCGCTGGAGCCTAATTGAAGGGAGCAGAGCATGGGGCATGACCTTCAGCTCTAGATCTTTCCCGTCTGTCTCTTTCTCCTTCTGTCAGTGTTTTGTCTGTCAAGAGGCGAACAACCTTCCTCTGCCACACCCTTCCCACCACCATGCTTTTGCCTCACCACGGATCTAAAAGCAATAGAGCCATCAGTCATGGACAGAACGCTCTGAAATTATGAGCCAAAATAAACCTTTCCTCCTCGCAGCTGATTCTCTCACAGCAGCAAGAAGCTGACTAATACATCATTAACAAGGGAGACACAAATCAAAAGCCTCATGAGATGCCTCTTGGCATTCACTAAGGTGGTTGTGAGCAAAGAGAGGCAGTGTGGGCAAGGATGTGGAGAAGTGAGAGTCTTTGCCTATGGCTGGTGAGAAAGCAAGATGGTACAGCCACGGTGAAAATCTGTTTGCAGTTCCTCAAAATATTAAATGTATAGTTATAATAAGATGCGGTAATTCTATCTATAGGTATAAACACAAAAGAATTTAAAACATATGTCTACACAAAAGCTTCTGATATTTACACTAGCATTACTCAAAAAGTAAAAAACAACTCAAATGCCTAAAAATAGGTGAATGGATAAACAGAATATGGTATATTCATTCAATGAAGTATGTTCCACCATGAAAGTGAATTAAATATTAGACACACGGATGATGTGTGGAAACCTTATGCTAATTGAAAGGAGCTAGACACAAATGATCATATGCCATTTTATTCCACTTATACATGACATCCAGAGTTGGCAAGTCTACAGAGACAGTGGGTTGGGGTCGCTGAGGGCTGAGGTTTAGGGCCAGGGTAAATAGGATACAAAATGAAACGGAGTTCCTTTAAGGGGCAGTCAAAATGTTCTAAAATCGATCATGGTGACAGCTGTCAAATTTGGTGAATCTACTAAAATCACTTAATTAAACAGTTTAAATTACTGAATTGTTTGGTATGTGGATTTTATATCCATAAAGGTGTAAAAAGGAAGAAGGAACGAGGAGCAAAACCTGAGACAGAGCCGCCTGCTGCGCTTGATGGAGGTCATGGGGCCCACACTCAGGCTGCAGATGGGGGAGGCCATCCAACCACATCACCACACCCGGGAGGTGACCCAAGTGGGCTTCCTGAAGTCATTCAATGCTATTCTCCTCTTGGGTAGAGAAGTAGCATTAGCACCTCACCTTAGCAATGGATACCCTTAGGGCACAGTCTTGCTCCGTGTCTCTACAAAGGGCCAGTTCTTCACAGATTATGTAGCTCTGACTCCAGGCTGTAGTGGGATCTGATGCTCAGAATTACTGGGACCTGACACTTCTAACAGTCATTAGTGACTTTAAGTCCCAAACCAGCCTGCTTCTCAAGCACAAAGTTCAGTCTATTGCATTCAAGTCTTCCACCGGTCATATAACCCAGAGTTTACACCACATACGCAGCAGAAGGCCCCCTCCCCCACAATGACTGAATTTTAATCTTCTTACTTCAAAAGTTAATTTTTCTCATGAAGCTGAGTTCTGTGGTGTCAGATTCCTACTTTTTATGAGTATCCATAATACTTTTTGGAGAAAGAAAGTGAAAAAAAGAATACTGAAGAAGAGGCCCAGGATAATGGTACATGGAAAATGAAGTCGAAATCTCCTCCTGTACTTACTTCCATACTTAGGTCATCACTCATCCTGATACAAGCTGAAAGATCTGGTCCAGGGTTGGGACCACCCGTGAGGCCTGGGCACCTGAGGATAGAAAAGAGAAGATATTTACTACAAGTAGAAAAGCTGAGAAGTTTCGCAGATACCTAACTGTGATGCAGTTCCTATTCTCCAACACTAATCTATGAAATGTCCAACTAAAGCCGCAGCTCAAGTAAGACATAATGAGAGAGAACTCCCGCCTCCATCAGAGAGAGGTGACTAACAACAGAAAAGCCAGCCAAGAATGAAAATGAAGAATTTGCAATTCAAAGTCTTGCTTCCTCAACCTTGAGAACAGAAAGGAAATTTCACTAGGGGTAGATCGTTCTCACAAGTTCCACTGACATTTCTGACTTTTTCCTGGGGAAGATCAGTCTGCATACTTAAAAAGGCAGGTGAGTGCAAATGAGCAGTTGGGGAGGGTGGGGTGCAGAGTCAGGAAGGAGTTCTCAAAGGCCTGTTACCCTCATGGGTGAAAGGAATAGAAATAGGAGTGAAACACACCTGAGTTACTTAGCAGTATGTACAGAGTATACCTCAAACATCAAAGGTGGCCAAGGGTAATCTTTCCAAAATGTAGAATAGAATATTATGAAGTGCAAAAGCAACGTCTTTAAGTTATAAGTCATTGGAAAAGTTCCTTGATAAAGACTGTACAACTTGGGGCTGGGGATTTAGCTCAGCGGCACAGTGGCCACCTGGCAAGCGCAAGGTAGTGAGTTCAATTCCCAGTCCGGGGGTGGGGGGGTGGGGGTGGTGGAAGACTCTATAACCTCAGGGCATGGAAATCTAACCGATTAAAGCTGCCTTTGAAGGGTAAGGTAAGGAAATTGTGCTCATTGAACTTACTTGTGTTGTCTAGTCACATGCAGAGCACCATGCTTTATTTCTCCTTTCTTGGACCTTTCACGTGCAGCATGGATTGGGTGGGCTATGCATGAGAAGGGGGCCAGTGCCAGCCGTGGAATCACTGTGCCACTCTCCAGATTCAGGGCATCTGCAGTAGGATACAAAGGAATAAAAACAGAAGCTAACTTCCGGTTCAGACCACATAGAGAGTAAATTCTTCCCCTCCGGAGAGAGTCACTGCATCATTTCTGAAAAAGCCAACATCAAATCAGTTCTATTAACATTTTATCGGAACTGGCCGGGATGGCTAGTGACATGGAGGTGGAAATATGAAATAATTTTTCCTTACAGTGAAGGGTAGAGGAGCACAGAAAGCTTTTGTCTACTAGGCAGTTCAAGAACCAAACATGTACAGCCAGCAGGCAAAACTCAGCCAGCTCCCTGATTTTGCAAATAAAGTTTTACTGGAATACAGCCACACACATGTTTGCATATTGTCCACGGCTGCCTGTGCGCTCCAGTGTAAAGCTTGATAGCAGCAGAAATTATGTAGACTATAAGGCCTAAGATACTGTTGGGCCCTTTACAGAACAACTTATAGACTCCTAAAGAGGAAATTATTAGACCTGAGGACAACCCACCAAAAAGTGGTCCAGGAAATAGGTTTGAATAGCAAACCCTTTTGGGGGGAAAAATATCTTGTGTATAATTCTATGTTTAGGAAGCTACAGAATTTAACAAAAACCATAGGCTTTGGAATCAATCAGTGTTTTAGTTCAAATCCTGGCTCTAACATATATTAGTTGTGTTGTCTTGGATAAATAACTAAGCCACTCTGTATCTTTTTTTGGGGGGGCGGTTTCCGGTACCGGGAATTGAACTCATGACCTTGCGTTTGCCAGGCAGATGCTGTGCCGCTGAACTAGATCCCCAGCCCCATGCCACTCTGAATCTTAGTTTACTTCCATATAAAGGGATGTATGACATTGTGCAAATTACTTACTCAATATTCCTGTTTCATCATTAAAACAGGAACTACAACAGCATCCTTACTTCATAGAGATAGGGTGAAAATTAAATGAGTTCATAGATATGTTAAGAGCACAGAATGTACTAGGAATGTAGCGAACATTCTTTAAGCACTGACGTTGGTGGTCGTGGTTAGCACTGAAACATCATGAGTAAAATAATCTCTAGGGAGCCCTAATCTATCATCCAACACAAAACTGGACACTCTGTAACAGGAGCTGTTTCTGCACTAGTTTAAATGATCCTCAGATCACTTTCTTTTTAGTACTTCTTAAATATATATTGATAATCATCCATTGCTTTTGCTCTTTCAGAACCAGCATCAACTTTCGCTTTTAAGTGCATCCAAGTTGTGCTAAGAGTTGTCACAGCTCTGAGTATTTCCTAGGAGAAAGTTCGTTTTCCTTAGCCTGACATTCAGTGACAGTCCACAATCTCATCTAAGACTTGCTTTTCTTTCTTCCTTCACACTTTCTACTGTCTCTTAACCCAAATCCTCTTGCTCCTAAAATGACTTCTGTCTCATTTTCTTATGTTCTTCTCACCCGTTGGTGTACTTTCCTCACCACTTTCACCATTCCATACCCTTCCCATCTGTCAAAGCCTGTGTCAACTCTCTTTTCCCTTCGCTCCTTCTCTGAGCCAAGGCCTTGTCTCTTACCAGCCTGTTTGAGAATTTATTTTATGGTAGCTTTTATTATATATAATATGGTATAGATGTTCAAATATATGGATATATAGATAGATGGAGTTCAGAAATAAACACCCAAGTATTCAACAGCTTTTCCTATACAAATATAACTGCAATTATTTTTTCTTTCAAAAATACCCCCCAGGCCCCTAGCACTGTGTGAGCAGGTGTAGGAGGAGGTTATCCATGCTTACCCAGCAGAGGTGTGTACCACAGTGTATGTTTCAAGACCACAGGTGTCTGATGAATTCTTGTTTCCTGATCCCCATGTACTTTGCCATAACAATGGTTCTGAACAGAAAAAAAACAGTATTATTTGCTCTTTAAAGGAACATAATGTGACCTACTTCCTCATCTACTTTCTTCATAGTCTAAGACAGAAAGTATATAACTGTCTCAAATGACCCTGTGAAAGAGGTCAGGAAGAAAATACATGATGTCAAACAAAAAGTACTCATGCTGCTAATCAAAAGGTATATTGTATAAGTAAACAGGAACCAAATCAGCATCCCTGCTCCACAGAAATGGGGTGGGAATTAAATGAGATCATAGTCACGTAAGAGTGTAGAATATACTAGGAGCGTAGTAAACATTCTTTAAGTGCTGATATTGTTGGTGGTCGTGGTTATCACTGAAACATCCTGAATCAAATAATCTCTAGGATGTCCCATTGTACTGTCCAACACAAAACTGGACACCCCATTAGTACTAGCAGTTTCTCCACTAATTTAAATGAGCCTTAAATCATTGCCTTTTTATTACTTCTTAAATTTATCTTGAGAATCATCCCATGTCTTTTCTAAGAAATAGAGTTCTTATTTTAAAAACATTCCAAAAATTTAACAGGACACTCTTGTCACCAGTTTCAAATAATTTTTTTTTTTTTTTTGGAGACAGGGTCTCGCTATGCAGTTCAGGCTGGACTTTTGCTCACTTTGTACCCCAGGCTGGTCTCAAATTTGCAACAATCCTCCTGCCTCAGCCTCCCAAGCATTGGGATTACAGGCATGTGCCCCCACGCCCAGTTTAAATAATTTATATTCTGATATAAACAGAGACTTTGTAGTGAGGGACAAGCCCAATATAATTTTTCATGTTACTGAAATCAAAAACTTCAAACTATTGTCACTACCAACGAGGATTATGTATCAAATTTTTTAAAATATCCATTGTTGGGCTGGGGATGTAGCTCAGCAGCACAGCACCTGCCTGCAAACATGAGGCCCTGAGTTTGCTCTTCGGTACCAAAAAAAAAAAAATTATATATATATATCTATATCTATAGATATAGATATAGATATAGATATATAGATATATATAGATATATATATATCTTCATTGTGTACCTGGCAATATTTTAAAGACAATTAGTATATCTGCAAGTCTAAGGTTATTAACATATAATGGACTCAAGTTTCTAGTATGAAATGGTAACTGACTCACAACTGGTGCCTCAAGAAACTCACAAGGCTATACTTACCAATTTTTCTTGAAGAGGCTGCAGAATGTTTTCTGTGGAGGACAGCGGATCATGGTGAGAACATTCCTCATCTAAAATGCTCTGTCATGAGACAATGGTGGAGTGTATTGAAAAAATGATGAAAGGGCCAAAGATACAAATCACACATCAGACTGCAGAGAAGATGTGATACACCTAAAGCAGGCAAGAGTACCGAGTTCTACTCACAAGAAACGCATTTGTAATTGTAAACTCCCCACTGGATTTTAATCTGCCTAGGAACGAAATCCAAAGATGAAGAACAGGGAAGTGCATGGTTTTGTCATTAAAATCCTCACCAAGAAGCCAAAGAAACTTGGTGGTGACATAACTTGAAATGGTGAAATTGCTATCTATGAAATTTTTACAGCAATAAAACTTTGGTCTTAATCCAAGAGACTGATATGTATCTGTCACTGGTTATAATAGAACATTTTGTAGTGTTCTTGGGCAGATTAAAGCTTCTTCAGACATGGAGATTATTCCAGCTCAGTTTATTGCAAAGATTTTCTAGGTACTCTGCCTGGCTTAGTCTGTCTGTCTGTCTCTCTCACACACACACACACGGTTTTTCCTGATTGAACAGCTGCGTCTGCATTATGATCTAGAAAGTGCTACCAGCAAATATCACTGTCCATTCGTCTTTCATCTCCTTCCTCCAGTGCCGTCCTCACTGATCTCTTACCTTCTTCACTTGTGCCCAAAAAGGAGACTCACCAAGTATCATAAGAGAAAAAATATATTTGGCTCTACCATGGATATCTAAGGCATTGGGAAGTTTAATTCAAAATGAAGAAAGAAAGATGGTAACCACTGAAGTCTGTTCAGAGGTACTCACAATTTCAGCAAATGATTATAAAATGAAACACATACCTTCCTACCGGAAAGGAAGTTCTAAGACTAAAACGCTGGCTCCTTGCGAATAGATAAGAGTGACCTGGCAAAGCAAATTCTGAAATGCTTCCACTTTGGAAGATGCTCTCCTGAGCTCTTACTAGTATCAGTTCTCCCTCCTGTTTTCTTAAATGCTTTCAGAATATGGGGAACAAAGTCCACCAAAGCATTGTCTTCTAAGTTGGGTATTAACGGTTGAAACCACTGCATACTGTATATTAACTTTAAAATCTTTTATTAATTGGGCATCTTCCCCACAGTACACAAACAAACATGCATCTCAGGGGCTTTCCATTACCTGAAACAGCAAGTGATGAAGTCGTCCTTTAGTTAACTGCTTTCGAAGTGACTCAATAGTTGCTATGAAAAGAATTTATAAGCAGTTCAGTGTGATAATTTTAACCTCTTCTGCCCATAATACATTTTATTGCTTTCTAAACTTTTAATGGCTTTCCATTTGGGATCCAAAGAAAAGCAGAGGGAACACTTGCTTCTGAGAACAGCAGAAAATGGCAAAGCATGCTGAAAAAGCTAAGTCATGATCAACTCTGAGTATTTGAAACGAACAATGCAAGCGAATCTTCCTCTAGATGTGAGTCACAGAATTACTCAATCTTAAAATAAGAATACAGGGACTAGGGGTATAACTCAATGGTAGAGCATTTGCAGAGCCCTGTGTTTGACCCCCAGCCCTGCACAAACAAAACAAACAAAGCAGAACAGAACACTTTATGTCATTCAGTCCAAATCCCTTCAGCTGCAGAAATCCTGTCTCCATTAAGGGTCTCTGCTTGATCTCTAGAATTAGGGTCCTACAATCCCAGGAGACCTTGAGGACATTGATGCCCAGGAGATTGAGCTGGTAATGGGTACATCGTGGAGCTGAATTCAGGCTTACAGGACAGAGCTCAGCTCAGTGTACTATTCTGTGAAATTAAAAATATTTGCTTTTTCACTTAACTAAAATCTGTTTCCTAGTAACTGTCAAAATCTCATCTCTCAGAAAATGGGAATGGGGGAAAAACACCTATTTAACAGTGTAAGTTACATAATTACATACTGCTACTTGGCCACCCATCCTTTCTGAAATACAGTTGGGAATGAAAAAATAAGCCCAAATCTTTTGAACAACCGAAACAGATACCATACCGATACCCATGCCCTTTATTCATGTGACAAATCTCACACATTGACACAGCCAGTGGGCTCTGAATTTATACATTATTCTCACAAGCTCAACTGCTTTTTCAGCCTACAGTAAATTAAGAGCGAAAATTAAAAGAGGGTAGGGAGTTCTGCTAGCTGCAAGTATATTAATAGCTAGGACTATTTTTTTAAAATCACTAACAGCCAGGAAAATTACCAACAGCAGATCTTCTGGTGTCCAAAGCACAGAAAAATCTGTTGCTTATTTTATAAACCAACAGTTTTATATCTCACAAGCCTGAAGAAATTTGGAACCATGAAAATAATACTAATATATGTGAAAAGAAGTATACAATCAAATTTTAAATTTTTTTTCAAGCAAAAAAGCTTTTAAACCTTTAATCATATAGAATATTACCCATGTGAAAATTTCATTTTATAAAAACTTTTTGTAGAAATAACTTACTTTACAAGTGAGCATGAGAGTGGCAGTGAACCTACGGCATGCATGCCACAGCAGGCTGCTTATCATTGAAAGCTCTAAAAGGTTCAAAATTCTCTGGGTTAACTCAACTTTAAAAAGAAGGCCTTGTTCTCCTCCTGACCTACATTCAAACAGCAACCAAACCTTTCAGAAGTGACCGCCATGTTTCTGAAAGTCACCTATCTCTGAAACATTAAATCAGAACGCCAACTTAGAGTCATAAAACTAAGCTTGTACTGCAGAATAACAAGTGAGCACCATCTAAACTGCCCATCTGCTCTCCCACCATGCAATCCTGGGTTTTAGAAACAATCAGTCTCAAAGCATTCAAATTGAGCAACTTATTTCACCAGATGTTTTGTGCAGTGAGCAGCAGCCATTTCCATATTTTCTAAATGGCAAAACCAACTGGCTTATGAGCCCAATTTGCATTCACTTTTGCATTCTTCTGTGTTTGGAATCGGACTTGCAATATCTCTAGGACATTTAGGCTTGACACAGATGCAAGAAGACAATGGCCAGGACATCCCCCACTACCACCATCTGTAATGTAAGATGGGAGCAGATGTCTTGGATGTGTTGCCTTTGAAGAAAGAGGCTAAATGACTATGTGTGGAAGCTTTTGGGAAAATGGTCTACAATTAATGGACTGTTCAAAATCAAAACCACAACACTGTTAGAGCTGGTATAATATCAGTTATCAATGATGGTTGCCATTTACGGAGTAAACTCTTACAACACAAGATATATGTCCCACCAAAAGAAAACCTCATGTTCTATAAAATTGTGAGTTAAAAATATCAGGGTTCATTCACCACAGACTGAGAAAACTATTCATACACATATATCTGTCTAAGGACTCATATAGCTAATTATAAGAGGAAAAAAATGTAATTTTTAAACGCACAAAAAATGTAGATACTTTATTTAAAAAGATATACAACAGCCAATCAGCTCATGAGAAAATGAGCATCATATTTAGTCCTCTAAAAAGTAGATATTAAAATCACTGAAACACAAGTAGAGTAGCTTAAATAAATAAATAAATAAATAAAAAGCTGACAATACCTATACTTCTGGAGATGTAGAACACCAGAAACTTCCACTACAGTGCTGGTGCAATGGGAGATGCTGAACACCATGGAAAATTATTGGGGAGATTCTTAAAAAGTTAGCACTTCAACTATGGTATGACCTAGTAGCTTTATTCCTAGGTATTTACCCTAGTGAAATAGCACACATCCACACAAAGAGAGATGTTCATAATAGCTCTATCCAATATAAATCAAAAATACTTTAGATATGTAAAATGGAAGAAAAGCCATCAAATTGTAGAAGATCCATACAAAGAAATACAACTCAGCCATAAAAATTATTACTGGTAAACATAACATAGATGATTCTCAAAAGCATCAGGCTGAAGGGAAGCAGACACACAAAAGAACACAGTTCTAGAAGAGGCCAAAGTACCCTAATCAGATCAGTGGTTGATCCCTGTGGTAGACCTGGGGGAGGGACATGGACCTGGGAAGTAGCTCGAGGAAATTTTCTGATAGAAGTTTTGTGTTTTGATTTATCTTTCATCTAACTGGTTGAAGAACACACTTAAGATCTGAACTCTTTATGATATATTATCCATAAAAAATATCTGAAAATTACAAGAACAAAGACAACAGAAATTTATGAGATCAATAGGGTTAGGAAGGAATCACTAAACAGTATGTGCAACCCTGTCACTAGAGCACTAACAAACACAGTGGCTAACGCTATGCTACCTAGAATGTGCAGCGCCCAGACACGCATCTAAAAACCCTCCACCAGATGCTAAAAATACACAAAGAGGAGAGTGGAAATGCTAGCGATGCTTCAAATGGAACAATGCTGGTAGGGTGCTGAGGAGGGACAGATGGGAGCGGAACTCTCAGCCAGTGGGTGGTCAAGGTGAACACAACGAGCTGCCTTGCAGAGAGCTCAAAAAGGCTGGGTGAGCGTCTTTGTGGAGGAAGGTTCTGGAGCAGGCACTTATTTTTAATTTTCTAAACATAAAATTGAAAGAGTTCCTGCTTCTTGCTGAGCTTCCAGGCTAAGGGTTTTTAGCTTTCCTCCTTCAGGTGATAGTTCTATGCCTTCCAACTCAGATCTTATTCCCAAGGAAATCACATATGAAACAAAGGAACTTCCCTGTTAGCCTAACATGGCATTCCCCATTTACCGATGATCACAGAACAGGGTAATTCACATCACAGAAACATGCTATAGCAGAACGTAGAGCAAAACATGCACCCATGGCCAAGCAGTAGCCACGACTTCCATTCATGTAATTTGTAAGTCACAGCAACTGAGGAAGAGGATGGAAGAGGATACTGAGGTACACAGTGGTGAAAAGATTTGCCCAGCTTTACCCAGCTACTCTTCTGTAGACTTTGAGTCAGGACCTGGGTTGGTTTGACTTCAAATCCCATGCTCTGAAACCATTATACCATGGTAACAATTACTTTATTCATATTTGCATTTTCATTTGGGAAAACATGGACCCCTATCCTATCAGATCTGTTCAACAGGCTGCATCTGGCTTTGGTTTTTTGTTTGGTCCTGATTCCAGCACCTTTCATCTTTCAGCATCTTAGCTTCAGACATTCTTTGGCTCACTGTCCTTGATCACTGACTACTCAGGACGCATGGTTGTTGTCTTGCTTTCATCCTCAGGTCTTAAGTTTCCCCCTCTCAAACCTCATGCCTTCCATACTGAGAAAAGCCAGCTAGAAAAGTTTTCCATGAGGTCATCTCAGGAAAGCTTTCTCAAAACTGAAGTTCACATGCAAATACTATGCTCAAATACGGACTATGACATACAAGAGTTTCTTAGGATCTCTCCCCAAGGAAATATTTATGATTCCTAAAGGTAATTACTTTGTTTGTTGTATATTAAATGAGTAACTCAATTTTAATTTCACATCAACTAGGGACAAGAGATGGTGAACAGTAGGGATGACGATTTGAATTAGATCAATTAGTCTATGATAATTGATAATAGATAAGATGCACCTTAATGTGTTGTATGCATACCCTAGATCTAAGAAATTTTTTAGATTTCCTTTTTAAAGCTAACATTCATTTATAATTCACTATTGTAGCTATGGATACTTAGCTGTAAAAAGAGAAAATGTATCTGCAACTACTCATGACATTTAACAGTTCTTGTATATTTCAAGGAGGCAAGCATGCACACTAATCACTGTGTAAATCACTTTGCTCCTAATAGTGGGTAAAAACTTTGACAATATAATTTACTCAACATAAAGCTGAGGATTTATAAGATGTTATAAGCAACTCCCCAGGTGTAGTTTGTACACATTGTCATTGGCCTGAACATTTGAGTGAACCATACAAATCCCCAAACAACTTGCTGATAAATCTTGTCAGATGTTTCAGAGAGCAATGGTTTTAAGCATCTGGCTAATGTATTAGACTAGCCAGAGAGTTTCAGAAGAGCTAAGCAGATTGAAATATTTTTCTTTTCTGACTCAGAATTTAAGTGTCTGACTCAGAACTCGAGCATCACGGGGTGTTGTGGCTGTGGTGTAATGTGTGTGGATGTGCGTGTGTGATAACTGGCCCACTTCACTGATGTCTCGGTATATCTGGGATATCAGCAACAGAGACATTTTAAAAATACACTCTGTATCTCAATTTTCTTGTTCTCCCAAAGGTTGATTTTTAAGGATACTATTAAAAGAGCCCTTATAAATAAATGGTGTTTTTAAAAAATACCGATATGTATTTCTTTGGGCAAGAAAAAAAAAAAAAAAAGAAGAAAAGGATTTCATAAATCCAGGCAGTTTATGAGCAATTCAAGACAGAAAGAAGTGTCCACCCTACTTCATCTAAGCAAAAGAAGCACATTCAACCCAGGGCAGCTTTCATATGCTCTTTTAACAAGATTTGAACTGATTACCCCCTAAGGATCTACTGGGAAGACAGTGGCAAGTTGATAATATCAAGAGTGTGCAATTTGGGAGAGGTTACAAAAGTTGATTCTTCTAAGGAAGTGCTATAAAGAAGGCATGTGTTATGGCTTGTGCTTAAGATGTTCCCCCAAAGCCTCATGTGGTCATAGGTGGGGCTTTTTCAGAGGTGGCTGGATCTAAAGTATGTGACGCAGGAATTGATTCATGGGGCAATACTAGGATCAAGGGCACTAGGATTAAGAGTGTGAGGGCTACCCACTCTGAGTAGCCTGGATAAGATAAAAGGGATTAAAAAGAGCTGTGGTCTTCCCTTGTTGCTTTGTTACCTTCTGCCTGTGATGAGCTGTTTTTCCCCCTCTGATGCCTGTCTGCCATACCACCCTGCCTTGGAGCCAGCCAATGATGGACTGAAACCTCTACAAATTGTGAGCTAAATAAACCTTTCTCCCTTTAACTTTGGGGGTTGGATATTTTGTCTCAGCAATGAGAAAAGTAACTAAGACACCATGGAAAGAAGGGAAGCCAAATTCTTACTCAGCAGCCATATAGAACTATGGGGTATAATATTGATTTAATGTAAAGATAACTGGACCAAAGAATTAGTCTTCTGAGAACAGTCCTTAAAGCAGAGATGCCTTAACCACATTTGGAAGGACTTACTCATGTCCTAACAAGAGCAACTGTGATCACCAAAAGGCCTTCTACCATATCCTCTGAGTAATAAGAAAATAATATATAGACTTTGCGATTTAAAGCATGTCTCACACTGGTGACAGTGAACCAAAATAAACTGACACTAGAATTAAAAACTGACAAGTGTATAAGGATTTAAAAATAAAATGTTGAATAACCATTACTATTTTAGAATTCCTTAAACTCTCAAACAGCTTTCTCAGATAACAGTAGAAAGGGTACAATCAATCCAAAACACACACAAGCCTGAAAGTTTTCATCTCTAGTTCACCTTAAGCTTACAGTTCGTTGTTTATTATTTTCTATAAAAAAGAACATTTAAACAGCTCGAATGAGAAGCTCACTGAGCAAAAGCAGTTGTCTGATAAATGGTTAAATGAGCTTTATTTTGACTGTACTATGTTTCTAGAATAAGATAAGCCCAAAAAATAAGTTTATAAATAGTCTGACATCTGTAATTTGACAATTGTCTTCTCACATGTATTTTTAGTATGTGCTCATACACTTTTAGGCAACAGAAAAGGTACAAATATTCCAATTTTTAAAGTGTAAAATATGCAAATACACAGTAAAATTTTTCAATATTTTTCACACATACTTAATATTTGATATACACTGAATTCATAATTGTTTCTCCCAATCCCCTAGGTGAAAGAAAAGACAGGAGTGGAGCTTTTTTCTACCATACAACAGAGAAAAACTAGCTAATACAATCAGAACAAAAATATGCAAAACAATTTGAGAGTGCAAAATATCTCAAACATACGGATTTTTTTCTCTTTGTTTACTTTAAGAAATTTGAGAAGTTCTATTTAATTTTACAAGAAAAAAAAACTTATGAATAAATCTAACTCAAAGTAAACAACCAATGAGAAAGGTTAATGGTTAAACCCAAGTCCCCAGCAACTAGATGAACCTCTTCCACGGCCTCCAGATACGGTCTTCCCTACCCATCCCACGGTCGTAAATTCAGTAACAGCACAGCAGCTGGAACCCAGAAAAATGGCTCTAGCGCTTTGCCCCGCCTCAGGGTGACATGAATTGGGACCTAAACAAATATCTGCTACTTACTGTTTAGCGTTCTTGTCTTCTGCTCAAGTGTCTGGCAAGCGTTCGATACCTCGGTATTTATAGTGTGGAGGTTCTGCTGCTCCAAAATTGCCTCCTCTAGTTCCTGCAGTGGAGACTTGCCTTTTTCACTGGCAGAGTGGGCTATCCACCCTGGATCCTTCACCTGGATATGTACAGTTAATACTGGGTTTTAGCAGGTGACCAGGAAAGAAAGCAATCAAGCGCTTGCTCTATTATGCCCATGAAACTGAAAACATGCTTTTCTTCTCAGGGAAGTGATAAGCCTCTACTGAACTTCTGCAATTCCGTGTTTGCATGCGCTTGGTGTGCCTGAGCTATTTCTACAGCAGCTCAGTCCTGATGTGTCAAGTCGCCTCCTTCTGCAAAGTTGCCTCTTTCATCAGCAGGCTGTTGTCACCGCCTCTTTTACAACTCCCCCTATACTTCCTCCGCTCACCGCTAGTCAGTAGGGACTGAACTTTATAGTTCCTCTTTTTTTGTTGCTGTTCCTCCTCCATTTCTGCTTCATGGTTTTACGGACATCTGAGGAGCTTTCCCCTGAGGCTAATGTAACCAAGTCCCCGGTACCTGCTGCTCTGCATCTTGTAGTTGTTTGCTGGCTTCTTGGATCTTTTTCCTGAGGATGGCTTCCTGGTTGACAGCATCTTCTCGCAGTTGTTTGATGGCTTCTAGTTGTTTCTGACTGGTGTTAAAAAAAAAAAAAAAGAAACAGTCCAAACCACAAGCTGTCAGTGACATTTCAATCAAGAGTCACTTTGGGAAACTGTGACAAATTTAAACATATACTTCCTGAGAGATCAGAGAAAAAAGTGAAAGTACATGCACAAGAATTCTTCACAAAGATAGAATGTCAAGCAAGTGATCACTTAGCCTTTGCTGGACAGATGAGGACCCTCATTTCCTATGTTACACTGGTATTTTCAGTTCCCCACAAACAATGTTCAGAGAACTTAGCATCAGTTGCCTACTTAAGGGGTGGCTCTACATTGAGGTCAGGGTGACAGGTGCAGCGCTCACACTTCACAGCTAGCTTTTACAGAAAAGGAGAGAAAGGGGGACAGAGGAAAAGGAAACAGAGTGTCTCATGACCTTCGTCTTTCTCTGTGAAGGTTGTCAATCATGGTACAGATATGTCTCAATAGCACAGAAAGGGCCACCCCTAAAGACAGATGGAAGCCAGCGGTGGATGTTCCCACTGCAGCCCTCTTTTCTAAAATCCTTCCCCTCCCCTTTCCCCCCACCTCAAATCTTAGTATCATTGCTATTCCTCATGTGGATCCAATACTAACCCTCCAAATATAAACAATGCAGTACTTCTATTAGGTGATGAGATTATTCTGCGCTACATGTCAACATATCAATGGTTATCTAGAAACAACTGACTTAAGGGCCTTAAATCAAAGAGATGAAAAGTTCAGAGCATATCAAAGCAGCGGGGAAGGAAGATATTGTTAGGTTTAGGCATTTCTCCTGCCTAACATCAACACACTGTCACAGCTCCATTGGCAGAAATCCAGTCATGGTTACAAGGAGGACCACACCAGGAGCAAAGATGATCTTACAGAAGGCTTTACCATTGTAGCACGCAAGAAAATCCTAAACAAAATAAAAACTTAATCACCACATGCATTCTACTGAGCTGTCAATCATTTAGAGTTAGTGGTGGGGGGGTTGTTTTTTTTTAAACTCTAACAGGAACACTTAATGTGACATCTATGCTCTGAACACATTTTTAGATATACAATATTGTTTGCCAAAGGCATACTGTTGTACAGATCACCAAACCTCATTCATACTGAATAACATTTTATATCTGTTGATTTAGCAACGGCCTATTTCTCCCACTGAACTTTCAGCGACTACCATTCTACTTTCTGCTTCTAGAGGTTTAAGTATTGTAGATAAACTCAGGTAAGCGGAATCATGCAGTACTTGTCCTGTGATTAAGTTATTTCACTTAGCATCGTGACATGCATGTTCATAATTATTGTCACATGTAAGGCTGAACACAGACACACACACACACACACACACACACACAATCTGTATCATTCATCCATTGACAAATAGGTTATTTCCACATCTTCATCGTTACAGCACTGTGATGAACACGGAATGCAAATCTCTGATATTCTGATTTCAAGTCTTTTGGGTAAATATCCAGAAATGGAAGTGCTAGATCACACGGTAGTTATATTTTTAACATGTTGAGAAATATTCATATCATTTCCCTAGATGTTTGCACCATTTTATGTTCCACCAACAGTGCAAAAAGTTTCCACTTTCTTCATAGCTTCACTAACAGGTGTTAACTTTTCTTTTGCCTTTTATAATAGCCATTCTAAAGATATGAGACAGTATCTAATTGTGGTTTTCACTTGCATTTCCTGGGTGATTATTAATGATGAATATCTTCTCATATAATTGTTAGTCATCTGAGTGTCATTAGAGAACTGTCTATTCAAGTCCTTTGCCCATTTTAAATAATTTGTTTTTGCTATATAGTTGAGTTTCTTATATATTGTGAATGTTAACCCTTCAAGAGATATAGCTGGCCAACATTTTCATCCATTTGATAGTTTCTTCACTCTGTTAAATATTTCCTTTACTATACGAATTTGTAGTCTGACATAACCCCATGTGTCTATTTTTGCTTGCATTTGTCTGTGCTCTTGGCCTCCTAAACATGAACTTACCAAGATCATAAAGCTTCTCCACATACTTTCCCCTATGTTACAGTTTCAGCTCTAATATTTAAACCTTTAATAAATTTTGAGTTGACCTTCGTATATGATGGAAGATATCCCTGGAGGCCCAATTTCATTCTTTTGCCTGTGAATATCAAGTTTTCCTGGCAACATTTATTGAAGCAATTATCCTTTCCTTACTGTGTATTCTTTGCATTCATATTAAACATCAGTTGACCATATAAACATGAGTTCATTTCTGTTCTTAATTCTGTTCACTCATCTGCCTGTCTTTATGGCAGTGTTATATTGATTAACTACTGTGGCTTTGAAATAGTTTTTGAAATCAGAATGGATAATGCCTCCAGCTTTGCTACTAAGATTTGCTGTTCATGGTTCCATATGAATTTTAGGATTTTTTTTCTCTTTCCATTAAAAAGCTCATTGGGATTTTTCATAGGAATTGCATAGCTATGAATTGCTTTGGGCAATTAATGCTAAGTTTTCCAATCCACAAACACAGACATCTTTCCATTTTGGGTGTCTTAATTACCCTCAATGTTTTATAGGCCTTAGTATGTCTTTCATCATTTTATCTAAACTTATTCTTAACTATTTTGTTCTTTTTTGCTATTATAAATGAGATTAATTTCCTTTTCAGATAGTTCACTGTTAACATAAAAATGAAACAATTTCATATGTAGATTTTGTATCCTGCAACTTTACCAAATTAATTTATTCCAACAAGTTTCTTATGGGATCAATTTAGTTTTCTACATACAAGATCATACCATCTGCAAACAGATCATTTTACTTCTTCCTTCTGATTTATATGCTTTTCTGTCAGCTTGCCTGAGCACTCTAAAACCTCCCCATGCTATGTTAAATGGAGCTGTTGAGAGTGGACATCACGTATTTTTCCAGATCTTAGAGGAAAATCTTTCAATTTTTTATAGTTAAGATCTTAGCTGTGAGCTTTTCATAAATGACTGTTATGATGTTAAGTTACTTTCCTGACCTTTTGTAGGAAAGACTGTTGAATTTTCTTAAATGCTTTCTCTGAATCTTAGAGATAACTGTGTGACATCCTTTATTCTGTGAATGTGGTTTATCACACTGAGTTGCTCTATTGAACCATCCATGCATCTCAGGGTTAAATCCCACTTGGTAGTGGTTATGGGCCTACCGTGTTGTTGAATTTTGTTTGCTCATATTTTATTGTGCATGTTTCATCTATATTCATGAAGGACACTTGCCTGGAATTTTCTCATAGTGTTGTTGCCTGGCTTTGATATCAGGATGCAGTTGGCATGATAAAGGGAGTTTGGAAATGTTTGACTTTTTTCTAAAGAGTTTCAGAAGTTGACTTTTATTCATCTTTAGATGTTTGGTAAAATTCATCAGTTAAACCACCTCCTCCTGGGTTTTTCTTTGTTGAGAGGTGTTTGATTACTGGATCAATCTTACTAGTTATACGTTCATCAGATTTTCTGCCTTCGTTATTCAGTCTTAATAGGTTGGAAGTTTCTAGGAATTAATCCATTTTCTTCTATATTATCTAAATTGTTGATATATCTCTGCTTTTAGTTTTATATATTTAGTGCTATGATGCATGCACAGGTATTTTCAAATATTATATCTTCCTGATGAATTGATCCTTTTATTATTATATACTATTATTCTCTGTCTCCTGTGACAATTTTTAACTTAAAGTCCACCTGATAGTCCACATCTGCTATTTTGAAAACCAGTCACATGGAACAACTTTTGCCATCCCTTAATTTCAGCCTGTGTATGTCCATAAATCTAAAGTAAATCTCTTATATACAGTGTATATTAGATCTTTTAAAAATTATTTTCAATTATGCTGTCTTTTGACTGTGGAATTTAACACATTTAAAGTAGTTATAATAGGAAAGGACTTACTGTTTGCCATTTTGTTTTCTGTGTCTTGTTATTCTTTTATCCCTCTTTTCTATTGTCTTCCTCTGAGTTGTGTGGATTTTTTGTATTCATGTGCTTTGATTTCCTTTCTCCTTTTTTGTGTATCTTTTATAGGCACCTTCTTTGTGGTTATCATGGGGCCTACATAAAACAGCTTATGGCTTTAACAATCTATGACAAGCTGGTAACAACTTCAATCACAAACACTCTATGCTTTTGTCTCACTATACACTTTAAGATATTGATGTCATAGATCCCATCATTTCATGCTTCATATTCATTAACACCTTTTAGTTACTTACACTTTGTCTTTCATCTTTTACATTAAAATTAAAAGTGATTTACCCACTACCATTCCAGTATTCTATGGTTTCTAGATACTTACTTTTATCAGTGCATCTTTTTCTTTCTCGGTGTTTTTGTGTTGTTATTTGGCATCGTTTTGTTTCAACGTGAAGAACTCCATTTACCATTTGTCACAGGCAGGGTCAATGGTGATAAATTTCCTCAACTTTCATTTGTCTGGGAAAATCTCCATTTCTCCTTCATTGCTGAAGGGCAGTTTTGCTAGGTATCGCATTTTTATGCTTTTAGCCCTGCAGTTTTCATCCTATTCCTTTCTGGGCTGCATGGATTCTACTGAGAAATTTGCTAGTAGTCTTACAGGGTGCTTCCTTCCATGTGTTGCATCCTTTTTATCTGGATGCTTTCAACATTCTGTCTTTGGCTTCTGCCTGTTGTAATGTGCTTCGGTGAGAATTTCTTTGAGCTCATTTTACAGGGGTCAGGACATCTGTGTCCTTCCTCACACTTCAGAAATGTTTTGGCCATTATTTCTTTGAATAGCCTTTCTATCCCCTTCTCTTTCTCAGTTCTGCATACTAGGAAACCCATAACTATTCAGCTTCATAACCCACAAAACCTGCAAGGTTTGTTCACGCTTCCATTCTTTTTCCCGTGATCTGTATTCAAGTTTACTGATCTTTTCTTCTGTTTAGTCTAATCCGCTGTTGAACCCCTCTAGTAACTTTTTAGCTTCCATTATTGTGTTCTTTAGCTCCAAGATTCCTTGTTTGTTATTTTTTCATCTTTTGTTAAAATTCACATTTTGCTCAAGCATTGCTCTCCTGATCTCACTGATCATCTTTGATTCTCTCTCAGGGAAATCACTTATCTCCATTTCATTAGGGTCAGTTTCTCAGGTTTATCTTGTTCCTTTATTGGACTATATTTCCCTGTTTCTTCATTTTCCTGGACTCCTGTTGTTTTTGTCTATGCATTAGAAGCAGTAGGCAGCTCTTCGAGTCTCCCCAGACTACTAGCCTCATACAAAAGAAAAACCCTTAATCAGTCCAGGTAGAGATCCTGGGGGCCTCTCAAACATTCACACTCATGCTAACCAGTGTTCTTAGCATCCCCCAGACATTAGAAATACACTGGTACGTCAATACTGAGACAAGTGAGACAGAAGCCAATCCTCGATCAGCCCACAGAGAAGTTGGAACTTTGGTTGGTGGTCCAATTCTCCTATCCTCTTACCTCCAGGGATCTAGGGTTTTTCACCTGCTTGCTTTGCTGTGAGCTGGAGAAGGAGCTGTGGGAAGTAAATTCATACCACTTTTCACTGCCTTCTTTGTTTTCAGGGCTCCACTCCAATCCCAGCATCTAAAGTATTCCAGATACCATCAGCACTCCAAGGTACATGAGACAGAAGCCTTGGACAGCCTTGTAAAAAGTTGAATATTGAACATATGGCATAGCTATTCCCACAGAGAGAAGCTGAGAGAGTTTTCCTTCCAATCACACAACACTGTGCTGGAGGTGGGGAGATTATGGTGTCTTGATTTTCCTATCAATCTTGAAGTGGTGGTTTTCTTTTGATCGAGTACAGGAGACTCTCAACTGGTTTCTGGAGTTCTCAGAAAGGAAATTTGTCCACAAACTGTGGTTGAATTAGTAAATTTGGCCTTGCTAATCTCTACCGTCTCGCTCACATTACCTCCTTTGTGGGTGTTCTGCTGTCCTGGAGATTGAACACAGAGCCTTCACACAGCTACATTCCCAGCCCTCTTTTATGTTTTCTATCGAGACAGCGTCTCAGTAAGTCACAAAGTTGCCCTGGCTAGATTCAAACTTGTAATCCTCCCATTTCAGTTTTCCAGAGTGCCAGGGATACTGGCATGTATCACCATGCCCAGCTCCACCGGGTTTCTAAAAGACATCCGTTTCATATACTTTTTCCTAGGAAAAGTCTAGGGTCTCAAGAGTGTTTATTATCTTCCAAGAGAGAGCTAAAGGATTTTAAAAACCATCAGAAGTCTGTATTTAATAATACTAAAATTTTCAATAACTGATATGTTTTTCTACTTAAAAGAATCATTTTTCTGGATTTTAGGAGTTATAATAGTCTGAGAAATAGATTTTTTAAAAATTAAATGGTGCCATCTGTTAAAAATATTCAACAGATGTTGAATCTTTAAAGTTTTCTTCTCCCATGGAAATTTTCACTATCACATTAAGAAATACATATACTAGCTTTGGATATGTGGTTTTAAATCCAACCACTCTCCTTATGACATGGCTTAATGCTAAATCTTCATTTCTGTTCTAGCCCCTGCGAAGTCTGCCTGTCTCCAAGACTTCACCAGTTTCAGACCCAAATGACTCCTCTTTATTTCCTCCCCATCTCTTCCACTGGCCTGTCAGGACCGATGTACCCTCAGATATAGCCTTGATCCAATCATCTCTCATCACCTTCACGACTGACACCCTGGCCTATTACAATGACTCTCTCATTGTTTTCAACAATGATCCAGTAAATGAAACAAAAATTTTATTAAACTACTTTCTCTTGCTATATGTAGTGATCTCTGAAGTTTTACTTTTTCTTTATTAAAAAAAAATAATCAAAATTAGCCATACTGACTTATCAGTATGTTTAAATGGTGATGTGTGGTTGAAAAACCTCACTGGTCTCTCATTGAGGACTTTTCTTTAGCTGGGAATTTTGTCAAAACACAATTTTATGTCTTGTCTGCTCGTAAGTGGCTTCCTGTCACACTTAAAATACAAATTCATATACAGGGACTTCAAGGCTGTGTATGAGCTAAACCTTGCCTGGGTCTCCAACCCTGGCTCTTACCCCTGTCCAGCATTTACCCCAACTACACCAGAGCTCACCTCTCACTGCTGCTCACACGCACCAAACTCACAACCTAGGGTCTCCGCACTAGCTCTCTCCTCTGAGATATACGTACCCCAGATCATCCCGGAACTCACTTCCTACCCATCTGACAGCCGGTGGGCAACTTGTAACATGTACCTGAACCAAACCAATGTGGTGCTGGGTGTGGAGGCCCACCTGAGGATTGCTGCCAACAACATAAAAAGGAGAACTGGAGAAGAAGAAGCGGGGGCTGTTGGTTCTCCTGGAGAAGCTTGTCATGCTATTTTTCCTGATATGAACTTGGGTGTTCTCATCGCAGAGGAGCTCAGGATCTTATTATTACTGAGAATGACAATGGTTCACTTTGGGCGAGCCCTGGTCCTTACTTTGAGTGCCGCTTCTGGGCTCCAGCGCAGATTCCTCAGCCTGTTAGCAGACTTAGCTTCCACCACTGACCTTTGGACATTCCCAGCGCAGATCTGTGCAATAGACTTGCATGAGACATTGTCATAGGCTCTAGGCCCCCAGTGGGACTTGTAGGGGGCGCTGTCATGGGCTCTAGGTCTTCAGCTGGACTCATATGGGACATTACCATGGGATCCAGGCCCTCAGCTGGATTCTTTGGGTCTGTAGTGTGTGGACAGATTTCCTGCACTCTTTTGTACTTGACACTTTGGGTGACTACTATAAAATAATACTATAGATTATGTGTCCTGTATTAAATTGTTTCCCTTGTAAACCCTGACTATAACAACAGTCTCCACCATTCTTGGTTTTGTTTTTTTTTTTTTTTTTTGGTGCTGAGAACCAAACTCAGAATCTAGTACTTGCCAGGCAGGTGCTGTGCCACTGAGCTATATTCCCAGTCCCTTCCACCATTCTTTCTAATTTGGGTCCTTTGCCCCTTCATTCTGTCTTCTTATCTTGTTCTAATGTTCTTCAAATCCCTCGTCACTTCCTGGCATTAGAGTATATAATTATGTTTGTTATTTGCATCTCACGGAGGCAGAGATTTGTCTCATTTCCTACACTTCCTTAGCACCTGCAGAGGGAGGAAGATGAATCCTGGCCAACAGCAGGTACTCGGATGGAGGTTGTGCGCATCCTGACTTGTGTTCCTTACCAAGGCCTCCTGGGCAGTTTATCTTTTCACTGCCTGCTCCCGACCCACTCAGTTCTGTTCCGCAGGGCTGCAGGGCTGCACCTCACGATATCATGGAAGCCTTCTCATCCTAACAAACATCCTTTGAAAATTCACCTGCATGCAACAATCCCAGCCTCATCTAAACAGACTTCTCTCTGCCACCCCCACAGAGTACTGCATTCATTTCCCTATGCAGTTAAAATCCATAGTCAAATTATTTCTGCGAGTGACCCCGCCTGCTTTAAATTATATCTAGAAGGCATGGACTACACCATCCTTACGTTGGAAAGGGGTATTTTGCCCAGTGCTAGGTTCCCAGAATACTTTCAAAGAATATTGGATCAGAGTTTAACAAGTCAACTGTGGAGGGTTAATGGTTGAAACAAGTATAGGTTTTTTAAGTCAGGTATGTAGGTCTGAATCCCACACGTTGTATAATCTCAGGTGGGTAGCCGGTGGCAAATTACTGAACCTCCCTGGAAATAAATATAAGCCAGATGCTTAGCCCTACATCTGATAGTACTGGCTGGGAACATGACGCCTACTATTAACTGAGCTATGTGTGTACCTAGCAGGATAATACAGAAGATTCATTCATCAGAGATGGCCCAGTTCAGGTCTTTCTCCAAGCAGCATTTTGTTGCTAAGTGGGATTTTAATGCTTGTTTTTGTGGGGAAGGTATCTGCATAGGGAAGCTGCATATCCACTTAACCCACATCTTCACCACCACGGGGAAGCTGGGGGAATCACTGCTTTTTGTGGAAAGCAGAAGATCACTGCCTCAAAAAATTTCTCCTGGTATCAGTCTCTCTCTTGTATCCAGTTTCCTCAATTTTGGGGGAATAAATAGTCTGTTGGCTATTTTCTGTAAGTCTCTAACTGCACTTTTTTTTTTTTTTTTTTTACTTTGTTCAAGTTCCACATCTACCCACATTCATTCAGAAAGCATTTCTTAGAGGAGTGCTAAATACGGTACCAGCAACCATACAAAGAGTGGTCCACAAAAGATATAATCACGCCCTTCTTTACTCTGTGATTTACAGAGTGTAAACTGTCAAGAATTTCTGCATAATCATAAGTATTGAGGTTAGAGGAAAAATGAGATGGCAAGCTATTTCACACGTACTATCTTTTAACCTCCGTGACATCATTTAACTTAAATTTCACTGACTAGTGCATTACATAATGCAGTATATTTACACAAAGGTGGAACCGAGACCAATGAAGTAGGAATCAACAGACCAGGCTTTATGTTCTAATCCTCTATTTAAAAAAATAAACCACAAGACTTGATCAACCTACTTTGCCTCTTTATACCTCTGTCTCCTGTAAAATTATGAGATTACTAAAAGCCCCCTAAAACCATTTCTGGTTAAAAGAACTCTATATGCCCTAATTCCAGATTCTCTAGGGAAAAGTTCATTATACTGGTCTTCACAGATTTTAAAGTGCACCATTTGGAACTGTGAACATCTAAGTCAATTTCATACTATTTCTCAGTTCAAAACTGTCAGAATGTCTTTCCTAAAAAGTGTCATCTGAAGTCAAGGTACACAACTTATAACGATTACAAGGTGTAGTACAGTCATAAACCTGTCGTGAGTATTAAGCATAGTTTCTTATATATAAATGATCATCACCTGGAAAAAAACTCTTTTCTGAAATAAAGATATTCCAGACTGCATTTCTTCACAATCTCTCTTAATTTGACAAGGACTTTATCAAGAGATTCTTTGTGATTTCCCAAGCTGTTCAGTCTTAATCTGCAAAGATTTAGCTTCTTTTTCATGACACGCTTAAATTCCTACAAAGAAAAGTCACAAAACAAACTCCAAAACATCAGTGCTAAATAAGAACAAATGACAAAAGATAAAATAACCCAGGCATTTCCATCTCGATGGTATTCACTGCTATTGGACCCTGAAATTATAATTAAATAGTTCTCAATTCTCAAGTATCCAGAGATTATTGTATAATTGAATTATCTGAACATAGAACATGTACCACATAGCTAAAACTGAGTGACAGTTTCTTTTTCTTAAGATAAATGGATTTCTGACCATCTCATCAATTGTCACAGTTGCTTTAGAACAGGGTAAGATAAGTAATGCAATCAAATCAGTATTTGCTGATTATCATATTGAAAGGCAAATTTTACAAAAGGTTAGATTGGCAAAGTAGTTGCATATATATATATATCAATTGCATATATATACATATATATGTATATATATATATATGTATATATATATATAAATGTTGTCAATATAATATTCCAGAGTTTTTCTTTACACTAATTTGGTTGGGGTTAATGGATGCTAACAAGTAGTCTGGTAGTCAAGAAGTGGAGGTACTACTGTGAGTGATAGGTTAAATTAAAAGGATGGTTTCTTAAATGTTTCCTTTTTAACAAAGCTGAGAATAACCACCAAAGATGATCTTGCTTTTCAAATATTCTATTTTCTGAGATAATAAAACTGTCAGAGATTTAGTGATAAGATCCTTTTATACAGTAATCATTCTACCAAAGTTAGAGAATTTTAATATGCCAAGGAAAAACTCAAGCTTCTTGGCCAGTTCTCATAAGGATACAAATAAAAATACCTTTTTCCATTAATTGTCTTATTAATGTCTTGTCTCTCCTCACATGCATTCTCATGACCCCCTCAGGATCATGCGTATTTACCCTAACTCTCCCACTCCCACTCACCCCCATCCCACACTCCTACACAGCCCCACACGCACACTCCACACTCCATCATCAGGCTATGCGGATAGTCTTAGAAACTGTACTATCTATATCTAGTATCACCTGAACCATCAAAGTGGAAGAAAAACCCAGAAATCACAAAATGCACCACACTTACAGTAAGCTGCTGCACCCACTTTTCTTTGACAGCAATCTCTGGATTAGTGACCCACTGGAAGGAGCCATCAATGAAGGTTTCAACCTCTGAAATTTCTTCAAACTGGCAAAAAAGAGAGAGAGAGAGAGTTCTGCCTCTTCAACCAGGAATTCAAATGAAAAACATAGCATTACATAATAAGAATGCATTTAGATTGCAATTCTACTCCACAGGTAATTTAGGAAGATATTAGGCAGAGTTCCATTGTATCTAATTTATTCAATTTTCCCTTTATCAATTTCTATTTCCTTTATACAAGGGTGTGCTCATAACATGCTAACTCTTGCCAGGAACTCAGCTTATACTCAGTATACACAGTTAGAATGATTTTCCAGAATATAAATTTTTCCTTTTTCTTTCCCTTTCAAATAGAAAGAACAAACAATTCCATTGATTTTTATCAACTTTCAAGTTCTATGCTACCTACCATAGGCTCACACTGTTGAAAGGAACTAAAAATACAAACACAAAGGTATTATTGTCTGATTTCTCTAGCCATCTAGATTTTCCATACGAATTATCAAAATGAAGAAAGAAATAGTAGCTATTAGGCAAAAGAAATTCAGAGAAAAAAACTTTCTAATACATATCGTGTCTTCAACTCTTTGATACTAAAGATTAAACTGCAGGAAGATAAGTTCATGCTATCATATCTAGAGGTCAATCTCTTAATCCTGATTGGCCCAGAACTAGAAGATCAATTTCATCAGATTTGGAGGAAGTTTGTTCAAAGTCGGATTAATTTTGGTCTCAACAGAACACAGATACATTTGGACTCAACAAATAGACTGTAGTCGGTAATCTAGAGCTATTCCTAGGCAGTGAAACATTGCAATACTATATATGCATGCCATAAAATACCAGCTTCTGAAGTGTAGCTGTGAATTCCACTCCACTTTGTTCACGCTGTCTGAGGATCAGCGTTTCTTGGTCTGTCATTGCATCTAGGGCTGACGAGCTGGCTAAACTGCACTGCCAGTCAGTGCCATTGTTCTGAAAGAAGTACCAAAATGCCACAACTCTGTAACTAATAAAAAACATTCACTACTTTTATTTTATAAAGATGATGCTCTTGAGTCAATGTAATTATTATGAGCAAATACTTTCTAAACAGTTTTGTGGAATCTTCTACAACCTCAAAAGACTATGGACATCTCTCTAAAATGGCTTCATCTGAACCATTATTTTTCCCTTAAAGGAAGACTTATTTACAAATAGACACACTCACATGTAGGGGATAGAAAGTTATGGCTCTAATTTTAATACACAGAAGAAGGTAAAGAAATTCATAGGGTGTAGATTAGAGACAGAAAGGGGAAACTGTATTCTGAGAGAGGAAGAGCTCCAGGAATTAAGACACAGGAGACAGGAAGCTAAAAAGCATGGGGAAGCAAAATGGTAATACAGAGAAAAGTGAGAAATAATCCACAGCACCAACCTCAGCTCCCAGTCATTGGGAAACTGGATTCACATGCTCTCAAGGAGAACTGGGAATCAAACCTTAAAAGGAAGTCTGCTCACCAAGTCGACCCCACACAAAAGTGGTAGAGGTATCTATCTCAACACATGTGCAAACCTCAACACAGAAACAATGATACAACAAGGCAACATGATTCCTGCAAGGGTTTGGAACTCTTTGGACACTGGCTCCAAAAATACTGAAATAGATGCAGCACCTGGTGAAGAATTACAAAACACTGACTTTTAAAATGACTAATGTCTTCAAGGAAGACACAAACGCCCGAAGGAATAGAGGAAGACAATGAAGGATATGAGAGAGCAGTTCAACGAAGAGATTCTGTGTAAGAAATCTTGGGAATGAAAAGCTTACTGAGTAAAATCAAAAGCTGAGAGGAAAGCATCACCAATAAAGTAGGTCATGCAGAAGACAGAATTCCCAGGTCTGAAGACAAAGAGTTATCACATTCAAACACTAATAAAGAAAAATAAAGTATGAACAAAATATGCAGGACATCTGGAACACAATTAAAAATGCCAAATTTATGAATTTTTGGCAAACAAGAGGATGTCAGGTACAGACTAAAGGCCCAGAAATTGTATTCAGTGTAATAATAGCAAAAAATTTCCTGAGTCTTAGGAAAGATGGGCTCTCCAAGAATAGGAGGCTAAATAATAAAAAGCAAAAAAGAACTTTCCTACATCATATTGACATATCAAGTGTACAAAACAAAGAAAGAATATTGAAAGCTGCAAAGGAAAAATGATGAGTCATTTAAAGGCAAATTCATCAGAATAAATGCAGATCTTCCAGCAGGAATTCTATATGCTGGAAGAGCATGGAATAATGTATTTCAAGCCCTAAAAGAAAATTGCTGCCAAACTTGATTATTACATCCAGCAAAGGTAGCCTTCAGAATTACAGGAGAAATAGCCCACCTTCCATGATAATCACGACTAAAGAAATTCAAGGCCAGCATCAAAAAAGATATTTAAAGGAATCCTACACACACACAAGGAAGAGGGTGAAGAACAGACAAACAAGTGAGAATTAAAAAAGAAGCATTAGAAAAACAACAAAATTCCAAGAATTAGCCTATGTCTTTCCATAATGACCTTGGATGGTCTTAATTCACCAATTAAAAGATATAGACAGGCACAATGGATTTAAAAACAAGACCCAACTTGTTTGCTACCTGCAAGAAACACACCTCACCAACAAAGACATACACAGACTCAGAGGGAAAGAATGAAAAATGATATTCCAAGCAAATGGAAACCAAAAACAAGCAGGAGAAGCTATACTCATATCTGAGAAAGACTACAAGGCAAAATCAAGCAGAAAAGATAAGAAGCACATTGTATATTACTAAATGGAACAATCTTCCAAGAAGATATAATGGTTGTAAATATTTATGCACTGATTGTTAGTGTACTCAATTTCATAAAACAAACACTATTGGGCATAAAAAGAATGAGATGAGTGTATCCACACTCACCACTGTTTTTCAGTATACTACTTCAAAATTTAACCAGAGCAATCAGGCAAAATAAAGAAATGAAAAGGAACCAAACAGGACAGGGGAAGCAAAATTATACATGTCCATAGATGAATTGATTCTATATGTACAAGAGTCTGCCAATCTCTTAGACTAAACAAATGCAGCAAAGTACCAAGAGATAAAATCAACATACAAAAAGCAGTAGCTTTTCTATGCACCAATAATGAACCCCCTGAGAAGAAATTAGGAAACTTAGTCCATTCACAATAGCTTCAAACATAATATAATACCTAGGAAATAAACATAAACAAAGAGGTAAAAGACCTCTACAGCCAACATTGTAAAACATTAAAGAGATAAACTGAAGAAGACACTAGAAGATGGAAAGACTTCCCACATTCGTGAACTGGCAGAATCAATACTGTAAAAATGGCCACATTACCGAAAGTGATCTACTGATTTAATGCAATCCCCATCAAAATAGCAATGACATTCTTTATAAGACTAGAAAAAAAAAATCCTAAAATTCATATAGAAGCACAAACAACTCAGAACAGCTGAAGCAATCCTGAGCAAAAAGAGTAATCTTAGAGGTATCATAACACCCAATTTCAAAGTAGTACACAGAACCATAGTAACACAAACAGTGCGGTATTGACATAAAAATGTAGACCAGTGGAATAGAATAGAGATCCCAAAAATAAATCCACAGAGCTACAGATGTCTGATTTTCAACAAAGACACCAAAAATGAATGTCAGAAAAATGACAACTTTATTAACAAATTATGCTGGAAAAACTTGATATGCATATGTAGAAGAGTGAAACTAGATCCTTATCTCTCACCTTGCACAAAATAATCAGCTAAAGATGGTTGAAGACCTAGGTAGAAGACCTAAAATTGTGAAACTGCTGGAAGAAAACACAGGGAATACACTTAAAGACACAGGCAACAGCTTTCTGAAATAAGACTCCAATAGCTCAGGAAATAGCAAGAATCAATGAACGGGATCTCATCAAATTATAAAGATTCTGCACGGCAAAGGAAAACAACCAAAGGAAAAGGCAATTTACAGAATGAGAAAATATTTACCCACTACACTTCTGACAGAGAGTTGATAGCCAGAATACACAAAGATAAAAAATTTAACACCAAAAAAGAATAAGTAATCCAATCGATAAAGGGGCAAATGAACTGAACAGACATTTCTTTGAAGAAGTCCAAATGGTTTATAAAATAATGATTGTCATCTTTAACAGTCAGGGTACACAAATCAAAACCACTTTGAGAGTCCATCTCACTGATGTCAGAATACTATCATTAAAGATTAAAAAAAATAAATGCTGATGAAGGTGGAGGGAGAGGGAACGCTTCATTCATGAGGGGTAGGAATACAAAATAGGAGAGCCATTATAGGGGCTGGGGATTTAGCTCAGCAGCACAGCGTCTGCCTGGCAAGCACAAGGTCATGAGTTTGATTCCCAGTACTGGAAAAAATAAAATAAAATAAAATGAATAAATAAAGCCAAAAAAAAAAAAAAAAAAGGAGAGCCATTATAGAAAGCAGTATGGAGATTACTCCACAAAATGAACAACAAAACTACTGTATGAATCAGCTATACCACTCCTCCACATATACCTGAAAGAATTGAAGTCTGGATTCTCATTTTATTATGGCAGAATTCAAAATAGCCAAGTAATGGAATCTGCCTAGATGCCTGTCAATGGATGAACGGGAAAAGAAAATGTGGCATGTATAATACAATGGGATGTGATTCCGCCATAAACAACAAAATGCTATCATTTGCAGGAAAATGATGGAACTAAAGATCATCCATCACAAGTTTCAGGCCAGGGATATAGCTGAGCGGCACACCGCCTGCCTGGCAAGCACAAGGTCCTGAGTTCCATTCCCGGTACCTGCCACACAAAAAAGGACAAGTTTCACATATTTTCCCTCATATGTGGAATACAGAAAAAAATATAACATGAAAGTAGAAGGGAAACTGTTAAAGATGACAAATGGGACCAAGGAGAGCAGAAGGTAAGGGAGGTTAATCCAGATGAATACCATCAAACTATTTGATAGGCATGTATTAAAATTCCACAGTGATTAATAGGCACTAGTGTGAATATGTATGAGTGCATGTATGTGTACATGAAAAAGGAAATCGCAGGGGGCACTCAACTGATTTCACTGGGAACATACTGGTTTCCTTTCTCCTTCCCATTTACTCTACATATGCTGAGATAGTGCTTCACAAAGTACGTTTTGTGTACTTCCCTCAAAGTTTTCCTTCTGCCACATTTCAGATCTGTGACAACACTGTTAGCCTTTTTCTTGCTGACTGTTGGAGACTCATGGACTCATTTCCATTCTTCTGTTAGAAGGCAAACTTCCCAATTTACGGGGGAGAAAACCTCAGAGCCAGAATGCTGCCAGCTGATAAGGCCCCGCTGGGTAATACAGCATGGATCAGCCTGTGTCTTGACATTATTATTACTTCAGAGGACGGAGGGTAAAAGCACACAGCCAGGGCAGATTTGCTGCGGCTCCATTCAGTCTGGCAGTTTGGCTGGGTTTCAAAAACACAGGGGAATGATGAGTATTTGAAACAGAATGTCACAAAAACACAGCCCTCAGCACAATGTCCAGGGGCTGCTTGCGACAGCTTCTGATGAAGCCAGCATATGTTGTCCCCGCATCCTTGGCAGGAGCGATCCATAGATAGCATTTGCCCCAAAGACAAGTTCTTCTGCCTCCAAGGTCATCGCAGAGCTGTCAGCAGGAGGGCACCCTGACATATCCATCATCCACAGGCACAGAGAGACTGATAGAGCAAAGAAAGCAATTGGCCCCCGTAAAACATTTCCTAACGTAACAAGGACAAAGCTGGGAAATACAAAGGAGTAAAGATGGAGGGGGAAGGCGAAGCAGCAACATTTTCAAACCCAAAAAGGCTTCCCATTTTAAGCTTTTTTCCCCACATTGTAAAGAATTGGGTCTAGGAAAAACTAGATATTTTGAAAACTAAAAATTAATTTTATTACCAATTAAAAATTAGCCCCCCAAAAAGATAAACTTGAATCATTTGTAGGAAAGTGGATGCCCCTTGAGACCACAATTTTTTTTGTTTTGTTTGTTGAGATAGCGTTTCACTAGTATTTCAGGTTGGCCTTGAACTCAGTACATAGCCTAGGCTGGCCTTGAACTCATGGAGATACTCCTGCCTCAGCCTCCTGAGTGTTGGGATTGCAGGCATGCACCATCACGCCAGGCTAAGACCATAATATTAAGTGAAGTAAATCAGACACACAAGCTTAAGTATTGCATGGTTTCTCTTATAGGAGAAACCCAAGATATAAATGAAGAGCAAAATAAAAGACAAATCATTGGAACTAGAGAGACAGATCTTTCTCAGATGGGAAGAGGATCAAGAAATAAAGGGAAGTGGGAGGGGAAGGAGCTGAAAAAAGGAATGAAGATGTGTCATATACCTGTACCAGCTCCACAGAGGAAGGTGAATATTAAGTGCTGCAAATGTTTACTAATAGAAACATAAAATAAAAAGTAAAAAGGACTTGATTACAGCAATTGAAGAAATAAAATTCACTGCAATACAAAAATTCCAGTTTTTGTTCAGAATGTAATGATCAGTGACATAAAATTGGGTTGGGATAATTGGTAGAGCAAAGAAAGTGGTGTTATTTCTGCCCAGAAATAACAATCTGAATGCTTGGCAAATGTTACAGCTTGTGTCTTGATGTCTCCCCAAAGCCCCATGCAGTCTCAAGATTTTTTTCAGAGGTGGCTGGATCTACAGCGTGTGATGCTGGGATTAAGAGTATGTGACTAGTAAATCAGTCCACTGATTGGTTTGTCATGGTTCTGTCTAGGATTAAGGGTGTGAGTACTACCCCTGCCCTAGGGCGGGTAGCCTGCATACAATATAAGGGACAGAAAGGCTTGTCTCCTCCCTTTCTTGCTTCTGCTACTCTATGGTTGCTACAAACTGCTTTCCTCTGCAATGCCCCTCTGCCAAGCCATCGTGACACGGAGCTAGCCAAGTATGGACTGAAACCTCTACAAATTGTGAGCTAACTAAACCTTTCCTCCTTTAATTTTGGATGTTGGGTATTTTGTGTCAGCAATGAGAAAAGTAACTAAGACAGTACATATATTTGAGGTATTCAGAAAAAAAACAAGACAAAGCCAGGCATGGTGGCACATGCCTGTAATCCTAGCACCTGGGAAGCTGAGGCAGGAGGATTGCCATGAATTCAAGGCCAGCCTGGGTTACATAACAAGACCTTGTCTCAAAAAACAAAACAAAACAAAATAAAGTGAAAGAAGAAACTAAAACATAGCTGATGGCTGTCTACTGTTACCTTTAAGACTCTAGGGTGGGGCTTGGTGTGGGTAGTCTGCCCTGAAAAGACCAAGCATATGTAAAAGATTTCTAAATTTCAAGTCACAAACCCAGGCCTGACCCTTGCTGCAGCTCCCGGCCACAACTTTTCTAGAAATGGTCCTTTTTCTCCACTCTGAGACTTTAGACTTTGGAATCTAAAAACTATCAACAAACATCATCACAACATCCCGGGTGGTTTTCAGCAAGCTACAGACCTTCACTAAACAGTAAGCTATACATGAAGGGTCCTGTTTTAAAGCTCGCCACCTGATTATAACAGCTTACCTCTGCTGACCCAGCAAGGATGAGCTCACGATGCAAAGAGTTTTCTCCTTCCAAGACGGCAATGCTGTGTTCTCTACTAGCATTCAGCTGCATCCCATTTCTTGAAAAAACAAGAATAGTCATCCAACCTTGTGACGGGTGCCGCCAGTGTCATGCTTGAAATCACCAGAGGGTTTGTTTATCATCAAACAGCCAATGACTGCCCACATGGGTGAAGGGTCTTATTAGGGTATAGAGAAAGAACAATTTTTGTCTCCCAGAGCAGCAGATTAGGGACCCTCAGAGGTCACACACAGGCAGGCCACACTTTTTTTTTTTTAATGGTACTAGGTACTGGAGCCAGGCTGTTCACACTGAGCTACATTCCCAGATAAACCTACATTTATTTTTTTCTTTTAGGCAGAGTCTTGTTGAATTTCTAGGTTTCCCAGACTAGGCTCGAACTTGTGATCCTCCTGCCTCAGCCTCCCAGAGCACTGGAATTACAGGCCTGACCATACTTCTTAAAAGGAATTTCAGCTGATAGTGTAAAAAAATAGAGAAAAAAAGTCATTGAAACATCTAAGATTTCTATCTTTTCTTCCAAAATCAGAATATGTTGGCACACAAAGTCCAGGAGTCTTGATATAAAAATTAGCTGGACTAAGAGACACATCTGGACAAATGAGCAGGTTCTCAAGTGAATTGTGAGAAAAAAGGAAGGAGAGGAAACATGGATTGAAAAAGACTCATAAGATGCCAAACCAGGGCTGGAGATATAGCTCAGTGACACAAGCACCTGCTTGGCAAGCACAAGGTCCTGAGTTTGATTCCCAGTACCAAAAATAAAAGATGCCAAACCAGTCACAATGTGTAGGCTTTTTAGGACCCTGAGGAATAAGCTATAGAAAAGCATGAATTTATGAGACAGTTGGATATTGGAAAATATTAAAGAATTATTATTCTTGGCAGAAAAAAATTAGCTGGAGCTAGGCAGAGTATCCACCTCTGCCTTCAAGAGGGTAACGCCCTTTTCTCACCTGTTGTTCACCTTCCACGGGTACGTATACTCCTTCTAGAGGCTTTACTCACTTTCCTTCTCTGAGTGGCTGTGGATCCTGGGCTAATATATGCTTTCAGAAACAAATTATAACCTAAGATGACAGGTATTCAGAAAGAGGTAATAAACTGTGTGCTATGCCGTCCCCACGGTATTTCCAGGTCACTAGGTCTTGTGAGGGAAGTGTTCATGAATGGGGTTAGCGCCCTTCCAAAAAGAGAATGGAGAGTCAGCTAGCGCTCTCTCCTTACAAAGAGAAGTTGGCAGGCTGCACCCTCACAGAGGGCCCTAGAGCTCAAAGCTGATGGCTCCCTGATCTCAGACTTCCAGCCTCCAAAAACATAAGAAGTAAAGGTTGGTATCGAAGGCACCCAGCGTGAGGTGTTTTGTTATAGCAGAGCAAGCTGACTGAGACAGAAGGGTCATGGAAAAACCCATAAAGCATTCTCACGGAGAAAAGAAGCGGGCGTTTCACAGGCAAAGACACAAAGCACTGCACAGACAGCCCAGTGGGCCGGTGAGAGAGAAAGCTGGCAAGGCTAGCTCTACACTTACACGACGAGCTCCCGCTGCAGCTGCTGCACCTTGCGAGCCAGTTCATTTTTCTCTCCTCGTAAATTCTGGAATCACACACGACATTAGGCTGCATATGTTACTGCAGTGGTGAATTTACATTCAACAACCCCATCTTGCAGGCTGTAAAATTACAGCCTACCTCTGTAATGCTTCTGTATTCTCTGACGGTTGACTTCAGCTCTTCTATTCTTAAATCCTTCTGAAAAGTACAGGGAAGAGCAACACAATTAATAGGTCTACCAGTTCATGTTTATCAGGCCACTTGCATAAGCCACAGAGGAATTTTAAATACCTACTCAGTGTGAGCCTTCTACCAATCAATTTAAAAGTTAACCAGCAAGCATTTATGATTAAAACACAGGAGTCATCATGCTCTGTGTTTGTCTGGCCCAGTGGAATCAACCTGTAAAAGGTGATCTTTGAGCACAAATCAAAATGATACTTAGGATGCAGGTTAAGGAAAATAGTTTTTAACTATTGATTAATGAACTATTAAGGCATCCAACTTTGTCCAGTTCAAGCAATACAACCACTAGAATCACTGTTTGGTACTGCAAGACCAGAAGATACAAGTAGTAGGGATCTAGATCTAGAATTTTATCTCAGCTGGCACATGGGAGGGGGCAGGGTGGATGCTGAGCAGGAATGCAGAATATGCACAGATCAAAGTTACGGAGGGAAGTGAGTGACCACCACTGTCCCATCACCAAGCTTATCACACTACCATGCTTAGTACAATATTCAGCATCTCGGTCACAGTCCACTGACATGAGGGGAAGTAGAAGAAAGGCAAATATTTCTTCTCCTCCCTGTCATGTTGGGTTGTGGACATTTGTTCACTTAGGCTGTGTTCTTCCTGTGTCTCTGAAAGTCACCACAGCTAGTACCTCTATAGCCAGCATGATCTATTATCAGATAGGCTATACAGATCCAACGATACATAAAATGGTATCTATGCTCCTATTAGTCAAACAAACTAGGTAACAAATAACATTGTAGGGAATCTCTGCCCTCAATAAATGACAGGACACTAATGTGTGTTACTATGAATTAAAACTGCCTCACCAGTAGCTAGTCCATGACGTGTAGGCTGGCATGTTAATACCGCATTTGTGGATGAGCTCTACCACAGTTCAGAGAGAATTTGTTCAAATATATCCACCGGTGCTCTTCACGCAGAAGAACATGTTTCTGTGTCTTATGACATAATAATAAACTCTTATCTTTGAATAGCGGTGAAATCACACAAATGACCATCATCACCTTAATGACTTGGAGAGAGCTAGCCAATCCCACGGGGTTCCAAAAAGGAAAGGACAGTACCAACCTCTTGTGTACTTGCCTCTTTATTAAGCAATGTATTCTCGTACATGTGTAACTTCATCTAAAAGGAAACAGATTGAGAGAAGGCCATTAGGACACTGCATCTGTTAAACAACAGTGCTACACAATCGTTCCCTCAGGGAGACTTGTTTCTGAAAAACCTGGCACATGCGTATGGTTTTCACCTCACAAAGAATTTTCACATCCAGCCTTGCAAAGCCTCCATGCAGGGCTTCCTGCCCACCCTTCACCATTAAGAAAGCCAAAGCTGAGCACTGCTGAGACCCATCCAAAATCACACACAGTCCAGGGCAGAACCGTACCCCAAGTGTGAGTGTTTGGCTCCAGCAATGTGCCCGTCTCTGTTCTAGACATCACATGATAAGACGATGCCCTCTTTGTTTTTTCTGGTGGAAATGAAAATCGAGATAGAACCTGAACACAGATCCCATGAGTCCACAACAAAGAATCTTCCTCTTTTAAAAACTCAATTTTTTCTACTGGTAGAGAAAATAGGTAGAAATCTTGAAGATATATGTGTAGGCAGAGAGTTGGTAAACAAAAACCAGACTGCATGGGAAATACTTCAAAGAATCAATAATTTGATATTCTTTTATTAAAAAGCTTTTACACAACGAAAGAAATCACTAACAGAGTGAAAAGACAACCCTAGAATGGGGTAAAAATTTAGCCAGTTGTACCTCAGACAAAGGACTTATATCTAGAACATACACAGAAATGAAAAAAATCAGACCCCCCAAATGCAAAGACCCAATCCAAAAATGGGCATCTGAGATCAATATGCACTTTTCAAATGAAGAAATACAAATGGCAAATAAACATATGAAAAAATGCCCATCATTGGTCCTTTGAGAGATGCAAATTAAAGCACTGAGACTTCATCTCACTCCAGAAAGAATGGCTATCAAGAAATCAACCAGTAACAAATGCTGGAAGGGCTGTGGGGAGAAAGGAACCCTGCTCCACTGTTGGTGGGAGTATAGACTGGTGCAACCACTGGGGAAATCAGTGTGGAGATTCCTCACAAAACTAGGATTAGATGTTCCATTTGACCCAGGTATTCACCTTCTGGTATCTTCTCAGAAAAATTAAAAACATCACAGCAATATAGGTGAACCCACGTTTACAGCAGTACAATTTGTAGTAGCTAGATCTTGGAAACAACCCAAATGCTCATTTACTGAGGAATGGATAAAAAAGAAGTGGCCTTTTTGTACAATAGAGTACTACTCAGCCATAAAGAAGGATAAACTGGAGACTTTTACAGGTAAATGGATGCAACTTGAGACCATACTCATAAGTGAAATAAATCAGACTCACATGTGTAAACATCATATCATCTCCCTGATATAAGAAACTGAAAGAGTAAATAAGGTCTAAAATGTACAACAGATATTGTGAAATGGAAAGAAATTATTCAAAAGGAACTAGGGTAGGGGAAAGGAAGGAATGGAAATGGAAAAAAAATACAAGATAGTTATACTACTAGTTTCTCTTAGTTCATTGAAAAGAAAGGTTTGTGCTAATATTGTTTAGAGAACTTTGTATGCCCATATCTTGCACTCTGAGTAACTACTTTAAAGGTAACAATATGCAATGTAGTAACTACTATTATTCTATTATTTTTTAGTGAAGTTTTGTTTTACTTTTTTCAATAAAAATAAAAAATTAAAACAGAATTTTAAAGTGTTCAAGATTTCGCACAGCAAATTGAATTTTAAAGGTATATAAGCTTAGTAACTGAAAGCAAGCTTGTTAACATGTACTTCTAAATATGATAGAATTGATAAATATGCATCATGACTGAATTAAGAACCTGGAAATAAAATCAGTGTAGTACAAGGCAGAATTATCATCATAATTCTATATATTGGATGCCTCTTTACAGTTCTAAATGTATTTTCACAGTCATCTGAGTTTGTGGATTAGATAGAAATTCATATTCAGGTAATAGATGGGGCAATTGAGACAAAGACAGGTTAACAACTTGCTTGACATTGAAAAGGTTTTTGCTTGAGAAGACAGGATTTGAACCTGTGACTTCTGTCTCCTTACACTATTTTATAACACTGTAGTTCCTAAATAGCCATTTCTCATGTAGAATTAATTGTAATGTCTAAATTTTAACTGTAACCTGTAATTTATGAATATGCACACAAAATTTTGGTTTCTGTTAGGAAACTTCCAAATTCCATATGCATATGAAATTTAAGTGTATCATAATTTCAAATGTATACAACAAAAATATCACCCCAGTAAACTATTAAGGTAATAGTGAAATGACATCAATTAATCAATGTATTGAATAGTACCTTCCATTTCCTGATAAGAACATACAGCAGATAACAGAGTACTAAACATAGAATTTTTATGCATAAATATGTGAACACATTTTTGAAAGATATCATTTCTTAATCAAAATTAGATTTTCTACTTCCTTATTTGTAAGGTACTGTTTCTTAATATAATAGGGGATAGGTGTTCCTATTTTTAATTTTCAGCATTAAGAAGATACAATTTCTTTAGATGCTGATAAATTAGAAATCGCTACTATAATAAAAAGATATCCAATAAGTGTAGTCAATGATATAGAGAAATCTGAACCCCGTATCTGCTAGTGGAATATAAACTTGTGCAGCTGCTTTGGAAAATAGCCTGGCTGTTCCTCAAGCAGTTAAACAGAATCACCACATGACCCAGGAATTCTATTCCTAAGTAAATAACAAAGAGAAGTGAATACATAACTCCACACAAAAACTAATAAACAAAAGCTTGCAGCAGAATTGTTCATAACAGCCAAAAATGGGAACAGTTCAAGTGCCATCAGCTGGTCAGAAAAAAAAATGTGGTATGTCCATACAGTGGAGTGTGACTTGGCAATGAAAGAAATGAAGTATTACTATACCCTACCCTACAGGATGAATGAACCTTGAGAACATGACGCTAAGCAAAAGAAGCTGGTCATGAGAGACCATATATATTTCCTTCCATTTATATGAAATGTCCAGAATAGACACATCTAGAGACAGAAAATAGATGAGTGATTGCCTGGGGCTGAAGTCACAGTGAAAGGGGTTTCTTTCGGGATAATGAAAATATTTCAAGCTTAATTTCAGTGACAGCCACCCAACTCTGAATACACCATAGGCCACTGGTTTGTGCACTGAAGTAGGTAAATTTCATGACATGTGAATTCTGTATCAGTGTAGCTGTCACCAAAAAGTAAGAAAGCAAAAGACACTGCCTTTTATATAACTCAGACATTTAGAGGAGTACAAATGTCAGAATTTATAACCACGGATCGCTGTGTCGATGGGTGAGCTACACCTTCACAGAATAAAATTGGCTGGATAGAAAAAAAATATTTTACCAGTATTTGGGAAGGGCTTACTTGATGCTGTGTCTCATTTGCAGATAATTCCTCAATCTTCTTTTCCAGTCTATCTATATCCATAGCATTCTTAAGATTCTAATACAAAGGAGAATAATAGTCTTAGATTTAGCAAAAATAAAAGCATCACAATCAAAGTCTCTTATAGGAACTGATATAGTATTCTCATTGTCAGCGTTGTAACTCATCTAACAAACAGAAGTTGAGACCATCCAGAGATAAGAACGGGACTCTCCTGGATTACTCTCCCCCGCCCCAGCACCTGCTCCCATAGTCATGGCTTCCAGCCTGTTGTGGGCCTTGCATTAACTTGACATCAAGCATCTCCCTCGTCAACCTCCAGCTCATCTTCCCATATGATTTCTTTTAGCACCAACAGACCTTCGGCCTCCCCCCGGGCCCTGCAATACCTCTATCCTGCTACCTTTGTGTTAACCTTCAAACTCTCCATGAACTCATTACCCCTTCACTCAGCTGAAATCTTCCCACGGTCAAATGCTAGAATCTCTCCCTTCCACATGCTTCGGTTCCCTGGCCTATCTCTTGCTTCTTAGTTTTTGTTTAAATTAGCTTGCTGCCTACTCCGTGCCAGCAGGTCACATGAAAAGTCCCTGACTTTTAACCTCAGTGTTTACTGGTGATCATATCACGTAATTCTAGTGTATTTACACTGCCTTTTCCCGAAATGAGGGGTTGCCAAACTATGCCAGCCACCCACCCCTCAAGACCAAATCTAGCTGACCACCTGTTTCTATCAATAAAGTTTTGTTTTGTTTTGTTTTTTGTGTTAGATTTTTTGAGACAGGGTCTTGCTTTATAGCCCAGAATGACCTCAAACTCGGGATCCTCCTACTGAGTGCTGGGATCACCATGCCTGGTTTGTAAATAAAGTTTTATTAGCACTCACCTGTGTTCATTTGTTTCTGTATTGTCTATGGCAGCTTCCACACTACAAAAGCTGAGGTGAGTTGTGGGCAAATGCCTTTGGACAATAAAGCCTGATAGGACTTCTAGGTCCTTTCCAAAACATTTTCCAACCTCTAGTCTATTTCATCCTTTTTTCTTTCTTCAAACGTATAGTACCTCCAACATTCTCACTCTCAGACATGACTTTTTTGTATATCACTGTGATACTAGACATAATAAGGCAATTCCCATATTACCTGAATAAACATCTCAGGTTATGGGAGAAAGCATTCCCTGATCTCACTCCTCTGTCGCACCTCCACTGCCACTGCTTTAGTTCAAGTCCCCATCGGCCTGTGACACAATCTCTTCAGAAGCCCCCGATTGGTCTTGCTGGGTTTTCGTTGCCTGACTGCAGTCCCTAGTAAGCCAAGCAGCCAGCTACCTTCTTAACACAGAAATATGATGGCTATATTACTCCTCCGCTCAGAACCCTCAAGGGCTCCATCTCAGTGTAAGGAAAGGAAAGGAGAAGGGAAAATAGCCCGAGTCCTCAGAATGCCTCTGCAAGAAGACCCCGTGTGGTCTGGCTCCCTGCAGCTCTCCACGCGCATCTCTTGCTAATCGTTTACTCTGTCCCAGACACACTGGCCTCGCTGCCTCTTAAAACTAACAGGCAAACTGCAGCCTCAGGACTTGGAGTTTGCTGTTTCCTCTGTCTGCAGTGCTCTTTCAGCAAATAAACCTCCTTTCCAGTTTCCAGACAAAAGATTAACTTCACAGCACTGTTTTGCTTAACCACACTGGTCTAATTGCGCTTCTCCCTCCAGTCTGCTTGCTTTTTTCTTCCATAGCCCAAATTTCCATCTAATATGCAAGCCCCTCAACTGGGCCATTCTGCTTAAATTCATATGCTCAGCACTTAGGGTGGAATAACACATACGAGTCTCCCAATAAACATGTAGTGGGTGGATGGATGGGTGGGTGAATGGGTGAATGGGTGAATGGGTGGGTGGAGGGAGAGAGGGAAGGAGGGAGGGATGGGAATCACTACTCAAACCTCTGTGCTGTTATTCTTTCACATCCCTTTAGACTTTTACCTCCTAAAGGAATCTTAGTTGGCAGAGATATTTATATGAACTAACATAAATCAGTAATTGCAATGTTACTTCCTGATAAAGAGGTTTAAATATTCCATCTCAATTTTAAAGTGGTTTGCTACAATTCTTTCATGCGTGTCACTCATTTAAATACTAGAAGAAGCAGGGCATGGTGGTGCACGCCTGTAATCCCAGCACTCAGGAGGCTGAGGCAGGAGGATTGGTGTTAGTTCGAGACCAGCCTGGGCTACAAAGTGAGCTCAAGGCCAGCCTGAACTGCATAGCGAGATCCTGTCTCAAAAAGACCAAAAATAAATAAATAAGTAATAAATACTAGAAGAAAATGTGTTACATTAGGTCAAATGTAAAGCACCAATTTCACAAGCACTTGGCCTCAAGGTTGTAATATGTCTGAATGTAACATAAGCTTTCTTTACAACCTTTAATTACTCCTTTCCAACCCATTATGAATTTTTTTTAAATTTTTTTTTCCAGTACTGGGAATCGAACTCATGACCTTGCGCTTGCCAGGCAGGTGCTATGCTGCTGAGCTAAATCCCCAACCCCTATGAATTTTTAAATATCCACATGGCTCATACGTTGAGTCTCCAGACTCCTCAGCACAGCTTAATAAATACATTTGATAGTCTTATATAAAGCAGAGTTTTAAAAACTTCATGTAGTACTTAGTATGCACAAACTATCTCTAGGGAATTTTCCCTCCAGAACAGTAGTAGCTTTGCTGTCAGTCCTTCCAGTGCTTAAATTCTATTGCTTAAAAATTATACTTTGCAAAGAATCATTCGAGAGATTACACTAACATTTCCTAACATACATAAGGTACATTATAAGCAGCTTCACGTAAATATTGGTTGTTCTCCAAAGCAACTATATGGAATATGCATTCTACAGAAAAGAGAAGTTCAGCTTCCAAGATCATGCTTTCAGTAAATTTAAGCTTGGGATCTGGGACTCAGGCATCTTGGCATCACCGTTAGTGGAGTAAAAGTGGGAAATTAGTAGATAGTGTCCATCCTTTTCTTCTTGATATGGATAGTTTTAGACAGATTCATTTCATATTAAATCTAAATGTTTTAAATCTTATTTCTTCTATGGTTAACTGCAAAAATAATAAGGTATTTCTGCCCAAACAGAACATCCTATCAATGCTTGCTCACTCTACTTTGACAAATCAACCTGCTGTTTGCCCCAGAGGAGCCTGGGTAGTTACCAGGTTTGTATTTAATGCATGATCTCAACCCATGGTTGTATGAGTCCCAGGTTTGTCTACCCCAGTGTTTCATGATTCAGGCTTACCTCTTCCTGTAGAACCCGAATCTTAAGAATCAAGGCCTGGTTTTCTGTCGCCTGAAAACAAATAACAATATTGAAGAATTTTATGAACATTTCACACATTTACCTCCAAGGTATTGACATTCCTTCCCTTTTAACCAGCTTTTTTGTTTGTTTATTTGTTCCTTTGGAGACAGCCTCCCAGAGTGCTGGGATTATAGGCACGTACAACTATGCCTGGTTTCCCTTTACTAACTTTAAATGTAATATTCACATGTCACAGTTGAGCCCAGGCTGAAAATATTTTCAACATGAGGTTGAGCTGTGGGGAACAATGAGAAGTCAGTCTCCCCTCTGACTCAGTGGGATGGTAGTTAGGGAGGGGAAAGAATGCTGGATATGGCGGTGCGTGCTTGTAATCCTACCATTTGGGAGGCTGAGGCAGGATGATCACTGAGAGTCCAAGGCCAGCCTTGGCTACATAGTGAGTTCAAGGCCAGCCTGAACTACACGGTGGGACCCTGTCTAAAAATACTATAAAGAGGAGTGGGTGGGCACTGCCTGGCTTCTTTCCTTGATACTTAACTACAGTATATGTATAACAAGTAGCTGCAAACTCAGCTAGTTAAATTGTACCCCAAAGAGTTGCAGCTTTCCACTTGAAAGTGGGGACAGTCCTAGACTCAGTGTCACCCCATGTGAACATCAAAAACTATTTTATAATTACAGCATTGAATTCAGGAGAAAAAATACTCCAGGATAGGATATTTGCCAAGAGCCAGGCATGGTGGCACACACCTGTAATCCCAGCACTCAGGAGGCTGAGACAGAAGGATCATTGTGGGTTTGAGATCAGCCTGAGCTACAAAGTGAGCTCAAGGCCAGCCTGGACTGCATAGAGAGATCCTGTCTCTAAAAAGACAAAAAAAGAGAATATTTGCCAAAAGGTTAACCGTAAAACTTGTGGGTAGGGTAAGGTAAGAATTTTGTGTGGTTTTATTTTTCTTTGTTATATGCATTTCTTTATTTTATAGAACAGGTATCACTTTTATTATATAAAAATAAAAGGAATAACATCTCAGGCTAGGATTGACTTCATTGATACAAGAATAAAGGCACACACAGGGGCACATACACCATGGACTTGGAATCAGAAGACCTGTGTTCAACTTTTGCTCTACCATTCATTAGGTGATTGACTTTGACCAATCCAAAAAGTCTCTAGACTTTATTATTCTAGTAATCTTTTTAAATATGAAGATACAGCTCCCTCTGTTTCTATCTCATAGAAAAACCTATGATTATCAATGAAGTAAAATATTAAAAGTTCATTTTTTTGAGACAGGGTCTCACTATGCAGTTCAGGCTGGCCTTGAGCTCACTTCATAGCCCAGGCTGGTCTCAAACTTGCAGTGATCCTCCTGCCTCAGCCCCCTGCGTACTGGGATTACAGGTGTGCACCACCACACCCAGCTAAAAGTTCTTTTGAAATTATAAAATGCAAAGACTCCACCATGCACATCTAGGGCAATACACTTGTCAGTAGCAGTTAACATTATTGACCCCCAAGAGCAAAGACAATAACAACTGGATGCTTTACGTGTGTCAAGCATATTTTCCCCTCCCAGACCTAGGGAGGGAAAAATACTTTCCTGCCCATTTTATCTAGGGCTGCAGTCTCCAACCGTTTTTGGTACTGGGGAATGGTTTTGTGGAAGATAATTTTTCCATGGACAGGTGCATGGTGCTTTGGGATGATTCAAGCACATTACATTTATTGTGCTTTTATTTCTCTTATTCCACTGTGTACTTTATTTCTATGAGTATGACATTATATTCTCACAAGGAGCACACAACTTAGATCCCTCAATGCGCAGTTCATGGTGGGGTTCGCGCTCCTATGAGAATTAATGTCAAGGCTGACCTGCTGGGAAGTGGAGCTCAGGCAGTAATGCTAGTGATAGTGGGGAGTGGCTCTAATTACAGATGAAGCTTCGCTCGCTGGGTGCCCTTCTGTTTTGGGAAGGGAGACCCCAATTCTGGGGACACTGAAGCTTACAGTGGTCCTACAGCTTCTTTAAAGTTACCCAGCCCTTGGTGCCAGGGATGGAACATCGGAAGTCGGACTCTCCAGTGTGGGCTGTTGACCTTTCTACATAGTGCGTGTGGGTAGGAGCCGCTCAGGGATCCCACAGTGAGTGTTCCCTGGAATGCACTCGGAGACTTGCGCTGGCTCAAGGACCTGATACCCACTGTGTCAGGTCCTCTCATGCTACTCTTACGGCAAGAGCAAAGCTAGACAGAGCTGCTCTGGTTCTGGGAGGTCACAAGTGACGGACCCTGGCCTGGAAACCAAGTTTCCCAAAGACTACCTACCTACAGTCAGACTCTAAAAGCAGCTTTTCAACAAATGTCTAGAAATAAGTCTGAATGACGGTCAGTGGCCCCTCACCATCATTAACAATGTTAAAAATACTACTTGAATTTAGCGGGATTTTTAGGAATTATTACTAACATCCCCCCCCCCCCAAAATGATCCCTTCTCTGGCATTTGGGTTAAAACTTAGTGTAAATAACATTTTGCTTTGAAATTAAAGGCCTATGCTTTTTCAATGTAAAGGAGGATTTACGAAGCTTCTCAGGAACCAGTCAGTACTGAAAGAACTGGTGAAAGTTTGACAGGTTTTGGTTTTAGTTCAAGTGGTTTTTAGCATCAGAGAGCTATGAACTCACCCACCAACTTCAGGAAACACTGCAGAGATTTTTCTAGGTCCTTACAAAACATTTTATGAATATGACTGAGACAAGGTAAAAAAAAAATCAATATTAATGAAAAGAAAAGCAATTTTTAAAATATTACTTATCTGCACTTTTCAAAGGTGTTAGCAATTCTTACTGTCTGATTTTTGAGTCTCAGCATGTAAGCTCTATGAGCCCATTTCAAAGTACTTCATGACTTACCAATTGTTTGTTCTGAGCTTCTGTTATGCTCTTCTGCTCTTCTAAAGCGTTCATAGTAATTTTCAGTTCCTCCAGTTCTTCTTTCAACAGATTTGTTCTCATAATAGCTTGATGGGCACTGGGGGGTGGGGCGGGACAACGCACAAAACCTCAAATGTAACCCTCAAAGAGTCCAAGGAGAGCCAAAGACTATTTTTGGACCTAAATTGAAAACCACTAAAGGCTTAAACCAGCTGACCACAATAATCAACACTCTCCACTGATCTTTCAGTCCTCGGAAAAGGAAGGAATTTGGAAGGAGTATAGTGAGGGGAAGGAAAATAGAGATAAAACAAATGCACTCTGGAAGCTAAAGATTTGGAAATCCAGCATTAGCTGACTGACGTGACAACATGGATATAATATTGGTGTAATTTTATGAATATTTATTAAGTAATACTACATTCCAGGTTCTGTAACCCTGTATGGAGGCTATCATATAGAAGACAAGAGAGATAAGATCTTTCACATACTAGTGGTGGAGGTAACAGCTAACTAAATAATTACCAATAAAACATAATTACTAAACAATTACCAATAGTCTCTCTATGGGATAGTCCATAATAAATTCTATCACAGCTTTGATTACTATAGCAATCAAGGCTGGGCGTGGTGGTGCACGTCTGTAATCTCAGCACTCAGGAAGCTGAGGCAGGAGGGTCACTGCAAGGTCAAGACCAGCCTGGGCTATGAAGTGAGCTCAAGGCCAGCCTGAAATGCATAGTGAGACCCTGTCTCAAAAAGACATAGTAATAATAATAATAATAATAATAATAATAACAAAGAATTAGGAACAGCCGAAGTGCCTACCAGTTGGAAACTGATTAAATGAGCTTTGATGATCCAGTTCAAGGAATAAACCATTTGTATCTCATTAGAGTATAAACTGATATCTGCAGGCCTCCCTCAAGGAAGGTATAATATTTTCCTTACTAAGGAAGTACACCCCCATCATGCAACAAATTAGTTACCTCTACCCCTCTGCTGGGCATCGTGCTAGGCGCTGGAGGAAAATGTGTACTCCATCAAAGCAAGCTTCCCTTCCCAGAGTCTGTAGTCTGATAGGATATTTATAACTATAGTATAGTGTGATAGGAACCAAGGTCAGGGTAGACCTAAGTCCTCTGTGCACTGAATAAAAAGCAGGTGTCTCAGGCAGCAAAAGAGTATGTGCATCTGAGCAGATGCCCAGCAAGGGTCTGGGCAGATATGCTGCAGCATCCAGTGGAGGATGGAAAGCAGAGATGAAGCAGCACAAGCCCATCGTGAAAGGTTTCCTACACCATAAACCCCAGGAAAAAATCTAGAGTTTGTCCTGAATGTGAGAGAGCTCCACCCAAGTGCTTAAATGGTCAGACGGGCATCTGCCAGGAGCATTCCTGCCAGCTGCAGCACACGTTTGGAAGACAGATGGTGAGCCTGCTGTGGCGATTCTACATGAAAGGTGATGCTGAAGTGAATTAAGTAGAAGATACAGGAGTGGGAGGGAAGAAACCAATCTACTGGAGAAACACACAGGAGCTAAATTTAACATGACTTGTTATGACAAAAGGGAAGGTTAAGGGAGAAAAAAGAGCTGTCAGGCTCCGGCTTGTAGACAAATGGGGTAAGATAGCGCTATCTATTGAGTCAGAATAGATGTTCCACTAAGGATGAGGGTAACCGCCCATCATCAATATCTCACCCAGCCCTGAAGACAAATTAGACTACAAGAGGGCAGCTGCGCAATACTGAAAATGGGTGTGAGGGCGGAGAAGACAAGAGATGACAGACGGCTGAACGTGCGGACCATGGCTCTCAGGCTGCGCGCCAGATTCTCTGATTCCTGTCCATTCTGTGAGTTACTTAACTGCTTTCCAATGCATTTCTTGACGACTGCATCTAACTTGACTGCAGATTGGTTCTAGCGCTTGCAACCAAACCTTGACATATTATTCATTCAAGGCATGGGTTTTTTTTTTTTTTTTAATGAAAGAACCTTTGAATTTTTTTTTTTTTTTTTCAGTTTTTCTCCGGTACCGGGAACCGAACTCACAACCTTGCGCTTGCCAGGTAGGCGCTTTGCCGCTGAGCAAAATCCCCAGCCCCAAGAACCTTTGAATTGTATATCAATAAATAATAAACCAAATGTGGAAAGAAGAGAACTCAAGGTAAGCATTTTTGCTTATTACCCAGAAGATTGTTTGGGAGCTGGACTGGACCATGTCAAAAATCAAGGTGAGGGCCAGGGATATAGCTCAGTGATACAGCACCTGCCTGGCAAGCGCAAGGTCCTGAGTTTGATTCCTGATACCAAAATCAGTTGATCAATCAACCAATCAATCAATCAAGGTGAGAATCTATAGTCCCAGAGAATCTATAGTTCTACTATCATTCCATTTAATCTAGAATTTTGCTGTTCAGAACTTTAACACCTATGCCTGTAAATGCGGACTTTGTAAGAAACTTGTTAGCCGGGTGTGGTGGTGTATGCCGATAATCCCAGCACTCGGAGGCTGAGGCGGGATTGCCTTAAGTTCAAGGCCAGCCTGGACTGTACAATGAGATTCTCTCTCAAAACACCAAGGGAAAAAAAGAGACACTTGTCTTTTTCCATGATAATCAAGCATTTCTCCCTGTAATGGTAGATACACTGTGTCAAGTTGAGAAGTTTAGAAGTTTAACTTATTGACTCAGCAGGGAGCCAGGGTCCTCACTTTGCGGGGATACAGCTGAGCCTGCGCAAGAGGAGGGCACAGAGATGCTGTACGTGTAAAGGACCCACCTGGTGGGTAGCCTGCATACAGTGTAAGGGAAGAAAAGAGGCTTATTCTCCCCCTTGTGCTCTTATTGCTTTTGCTGTCTTCTACCACCTTGAACTGTTGCCCCTCTGCCCTGTGCCACCCTGCCTTGGAGCCAGCTGATTACGGCCTGAAACCTCTATGAACTGTGAGCTAAATAAACCTTTCTTTCTTTAACTTGCGTGTCAGGCATTTTGTCTCAGCAATGAGAGAAAGGTAACAAAGACACCCCCTAACCCATGTTATCAGAGTTGGGCACGATGTGGTATATCTCTTCTATTCTCTGGTTTCTTTTTATCTTAAGCTAAGGTCCCCAATTTACATTTCTTATCCTTCTAGGCTATAGGTACCTGGAGGGCACATTTAAAACTTGACTCATCCGTGAATCTTTCTTAGTACTTATCATGGGACCTTTCACAGAGTATGATTTTAACAGAGCTATGGAATGCTTTGGACAGACCCACATGCGATCCGTAGCTGTGTTGGGCTTGGCGCCAGTACAAATGACACAAATTACAGAGCACCACTGCTAAAAAGAAACTCACAGAGGTTTCTTGTGCAAATGTGAGATGGTAAGCTTCCTGTGCAAAAGACTGTTAGTTCCTCAAGATGCCAAGTATAAATTACTATATGACCCAGCAATTTCACTCCTATGTATATACCCAACAGAATTAAAAATAAAAGTACATAAAAAACTTGTACACAAACTTTCATAGCAGCATTATTCATCGTAATAGAAACATGTGAATAACCTAAATGCCTGTCATATGACGAGTCCTTTTTAAAATGTCAGACACGAGCCAGGTGTGGTGGCTCAGGCCTGTAATTCCAGCACTCGCGAGGCTGAGGCAGGAGGATTGTTGCAAGTTCAAGACCAGCCTGGGCTACAAAGTGAGCTCAAGGCCAGCCTGAACTGCATAGTGAGACCCTGTCTCAAAAAGACAAA